TGGTATGCTCAACTGCTGTAGGAAGCCACTCTAGCAACAGCATTGCGTCATAACCCCGATACGAGTGCTCACAAAACCGCAGCAAGAAGCCTGGAAAGTCACTCTCTGAACCATGAACAACCCGAATATAGGGACCTGAGCAGTGAGTAAAAATCATTGCCTAACATTCCCGAGGGAATCTTTTTAATTCGAAATCATCATCACACGAATCTAACGTAGAGGCAGGATGACCTTGAGAGTAACTGTAGTTATCAACACTTATACGGCCTATAACCCGAATTAAGGCACCTGTGACAGCTCTTGCCGGGTCTCTTGACCCTCTAAGTATAGTAGCCCTATTGTAAACCTTACAGCAGAGCAACCCTTGTTGTAACCCCTATATTGCCCCTGATGGTCATCCTTATCGTAGCCAATAAAGCAGCCACTTAAAAAGAAGGGCCCTAAATCCTGAACCCTAGACCCTAGACCCTAAGCCTTTAATCCTAACCCCTAAACCCCTTAACCGCAAAACCCTAAACCCCAAACCCCTAAACCCTAAACCCTTAAAACCTTTAGGCCTTTCTGACGGCCGCCTGGAGCAGCAGTTAGGAAAAAGGAGTCCCAAAAAAAAACGTAAAAAGAAGGGGTGCAGGTCGTGACCATCTCATCCTTCGCTACGGAGGAGGGCCCTGCCAGAGAGCAGGGGCCCCACAGATGCAGGATTTAGGGTAGGTTTAGGGTTTAGGGGTTCAGCGTTCAGGTTTTAGAGTTTCGGGTTTAGGGCGGAGCGCTTTTGGAGTTTAGGCTTTAGGGCTCAGGGACCAGATTTGACAGGTTTAGGATTTAGGCTCTAAAGTTCCGGGTTTAGGGTCTAGAGCTGTTAGAGGGCTTAGTTTAGGATTGTTTGGATTTTCCTCAGGTTTAAGTATAAACGTTCGGCATGTAGTTTCTAGAGGCAAGGGTTCAAAGTTTAACACGTAGGGTCGAGGGCAGTTGCGGGTACGGTTGCCTCACTTGGAACCCCAATTAGTAAGTCTCCTGATCTCTCGATTAAACTGCAATCCCCGTCGACCGCTTTGTCAGCACATATCCGGGACAACGGCCCCATATAGGCCAGTATCACCGTCAAACCCCATCTAAAAAAGTTCTCCCTGACAAACTTGGTTGTGTGGGACGCCATGGTGGCCACCATCCTCTATGCGGGCGATGGACCGGTTCTGAAGGTGCTCTCGGGCAAGGATGAATCCCCCGAGCTTCAAATGGTTAAGGGAGAGCCGGCAGAGATGCCCCAGTTCAGCGACTTCACCCTGAATGAGAATGGATGGCTGTTAGCGCCCACAGACAGGAAGGACACACGTGCTCTCGCACGATATTACGGCTTTGAGCCGTGCAAAGCCACCTCAGCGTGAGGCATCTTCAGCTGGTACGTGCAGGTTGTGCATTACTTGGAGGATCATAGGACTTAGTAAGTAAGGTTGAAAGTACCTTAATTGGGGTTACAAGTATAGTTACCCTTATGTTATATTTCTAGTTACGAAGTCCCTTGATCCTTCAAGTAAGGTACGCGGATGTGTCAAGGGGGGGGTGGCGGACCGAACTGACCGGTCTTTTTGCCGCGGCCTCCTGTACTTAAAGGATCATGGGACTTAGTAACTGCGGTTATAATTAGGGTAACTATACTTGTATTCCAAATTAAGTATTTTTAACCTTACTTACTAAGTCCCATGATCCTCCAAGTACTCTACCGCTTTGTTTTTGGGATGCAGGGCTTTTATTCCACAGGTGGTTTGTTCCCTGCATCTGTCCTTTGATTTGAGTCCTTGCTGAACTTGTGCTCTGCTGTATTTTTAGGGTTTAGGGGTTTAGGGTGTAGGGTTCAGGGTTTGGGGGTTTAGGGTACTCCCGGGCAAAGTCTGATTAAATCCCGAGCTTTGGTTTACGAGTTTTGCATACTATGGGTGTTCTGCGAGCCCTGGATTCCTAAGCCCTAAGACCATAAACCCTACTTGAAGGATCATGGGACTTAGTAAGTAAGGTTATAATAAGTACCTTAACTGTGGTTATATGTATAGTTACCCTAATCATAGCCCTAGTTACTAAGTCCCATGATCCTTTAAGTAGACCCTATAAATCCCCTCTTAAAATAGAACCCCTATAGATCCCTTTAAAGGAGCCCTTTAAGGAACCCTAGTAACTACGTCCCATGATCCTTTAAGTACACCCCCCCCCCCCCAAACGCTAAGCCCTGGACTGATCGTAAGGAGGACTTGGATCTTCGGCTGTTACCTTTCTAAACAGCATTTTTCTTGCCATGGCATCTTCAGCTTGCTTCACCTCGTAACTTAGGGGTACTTAGAAATATTGTTAATTTTTGGTTATTATACTCCCTAAGAAACAGCTAAAATTGTAATGTTGCTAGGGTTCTAAGTTCACTATAGGTAAATGAGGCTTTCACCGCCAAGGAAGGTAAATGCAGCATGTGTATGCTTTGACTCAGCTAAGCCCTCAACCCCCAACGATCTTTAATCATATTGTTCAAATCCGTACAGAACTCCTTCATTCACCCTTTCAATCAAGCAGCAAACCTAAACCCTGAAACTCCAGACCCATGAAACAAAACCCTAAGATTCTAGAGGCAGCCTACTTCTCAGCCCCCTAAAGCCTCATGCCTTAAAAGCTCACCCCCCAACCTCTATAAGGTCTTGTAAAATCCGACGAGATTCTTGGATTCCATTGTAGTCAGGCCCAGACCCTCAACCCTAAAACCATAGATTCCTGTTAAGCCCTCCTGAACGGTGCAAAACAAGCCCACAAGCCCCTGACGGGTCGAATCCTAAGACCAATGCCAAAGCCCTACGCCCCAAACCCTACAGAGCCCTGTAGCCCTCAAAATGGCCTCATCCCGTGCGAAAGCTTTCTTAGCATTACAGAAGTCTTTAGAACCCACAAAAGCCCGAAGCAGCTTTCCACCTTCCCTAGAGCCCTTTCAGAGGCCATAAAGCCGCACAGTAACCCATGGAGCAAGGGCTTGAACCACAAGTCCGCAAGACGCAGCGAGAGGTCCGGCGCTCGCGAGGGATGGCAGGTGAACCTGGTCGAGACCTTCAAGATGGATAGCCACGCGGCTGCTTTTTTCTTTTCGATTTAGGGTTTAGGGTTTAGGGTCCAGGACTCGGGTTGAGGGTTTTGGGGTTTGTAGGTCTCATAAGGCTTTGTAGCGTTGTAGACTTCTTTCGGCGGGTTTCTAAAGGGTTCCAGAGGGTTGAGGGGGTGGTACCGTCTGGATTTTATTGGATGAGGTGTTTCGATTGTTGCGTATAGGGTTGTGAGAGTGGCCAGGTTATGACTCCGGCTGCACCAGTTTAGTATTCCCTTGTTTCTGCGTTTGCATTACCATGGGCACACTTGTTGTAGTTCTTTTGTGCGACCACGACTGGCGTCACCGCCACAGTCACTGCCACCACTGACCACCAATCTGCTGTTTATCAACCGTACTGTGACAAGAACATACTGGAACGACAACAATTAGTACTCTTGTAACAACCCCCACCACTACCGCTTGCACTACCACTACCACGATAGATACCACTGCCATTGCCACTACAACCAATGCGACCCCCACCACTACCAGTACCACGACGACGACAACTCCTACCACCTACTGCTGCTGTTACCGCTACCTGCGACACAGCGACTGCCACTGCCGGTGCCATTGCTACTGCTACTGCCTCCGCTGCCTCCGCTGCTTCTGCTGCTCCTGCTGGCTCCTGCTCCTGCTCCTGCTCCTGCTCCTGCTCCTGCTGCTGCTGCTGCTGCTGCTGCTGCTGCTGCTGCTGCTGCTGCTGCTGCTCCTTCTCCACCTGCTGCTGCTACCCCAGCTACGACGACGACGACCATGACGACGACTGCTACTGAAAACTCCTGCTTCTCCCACTCGTGTTTGAGAACCCGCTGCAACAAACTCTAAACCGCCTCAACCCAAATCCAATAATTCCGTAATCCCTCAGTCCAACTGCGATCTAGTTTCTGGTGGTCTCAGGTAACAGGGCGGCTTTGGGCCAGTCGCTTGGTGGCATTGGTGTCGTGGAGCTACGGCTTTGGGTTCAGGGTTCGCGGTTGAGAAGTTTTTGCTGTATTGGGTTTAGCCTTTTGGGGTTTAGGGAAACTTTTCACCCTGCGCAAAAGCCCAGAACTTCGTTGAAGCTGGGTTTCAGAAATCACGCCCCCTAGCTATTAAGTCCCATGATCCTTCAAGTAGACCCTATAATAGAACCCTGTTGATCATCATATTGATCATTCGAATTTGGATTATCCGTCGAGGATGCCATGGACCTGAGGTTGTTCGGGACGTCGAGGTTAAAACCAAGACAGGCGGCAAACGTCCATGGGCTCACTACCTCGTTTTCACAACTCGCAAACTTGTCATGTGTACATAGCCCTCAGGGCGAATGATGCACATTGTATGCGATGCTTTCATGTCATGCATGCTTGGACTCTGTCCTAAGCTGTGGGCTTTGCCGTTCATGGCATGCCGAGCCTTCAAGGCTTCAAATTCGACGTTATCAGGAATGGAGCTACGACCTACACGTAGAGCGACGCACGCATAGGGAACTCTACACTCCTCCTTGAAAGTCTCTGTGAGAGAGCTTTCACTCCCTCAGATTCCCGATCGTTCGGCAGCTGTAAGACAGTACCTACAGAAAGACCGCCTACTAACACTGGTAACACCTCTCAGCGCTTGACATTCGGGAAATAAATGTACTGCTCCAGGGGTCCTACTATTCGTAGTTATCATCTGAATCTCTCGCATATCAATATGCGTCAGACCCCTGGGAAAATCAGTCTGCGTAGAAACCTCCCGGCTAGGAGGACGGGTCTGTGTACCCTGGGCTGAGGCTGACTCCCTTTGAAGAGGCGAAGTTAGTTCCCCAAGAAATCCAACCGGGGCATTGGAAAAAGATGTAGGGTTGGATTCCCTTGGAGGCACAGCTGGATCGGTGGAGGACGAAATGGGATTTACCTCACCTTGAAGTCCAGTCGGCTCGGTATAGGGACGCGCGGAGTTGGTTTCCCCAAAGTCCAATTGGATTGATGGAGGGTGAAGTGTAGGACTGGTCAGGGAGACTTCTTGAAACGGCCGTGGATGGCAGGGGTGCAATGCTTCCCGCCTCTGCAAACCTAGGCAACGGTGGGTTACGATCGACCTCCCACCTTTCACCAACATTGACCTGGACAACTGGGATACCTGCAGACGAGGAAGACCCAGACTCCGGGAGCGGAGCGTTCCTCCTCCTTAGAGTCTGTTCGTCGGCCTCCAACTCAATTGCACGCCTCACTGCTTCTTGCCGCCTTTGTCTCCTAGACCTTTCAATCGAAACTTCATCCTCGTCTTCATGCCTCAGGGACCGAATCCTCGGACCGTCAGTCCTGCAGCACCTGATCAGGCAATACTTGCCAGATTCCCACACAAACAATATCGACAACATCATCATGATTGCCACTACCGACAATTCCAAACTCAGTGGATCACTGAGCTCATCATCTTCAACGGCTTCAGCTTCTATCATCTGCATTATTAGAACCAACAGAACCAACTTGATCCTATTAGCCCTAAGCTCCGGATTGACGGTCGGAGCTGCACCTCGAATCAAGGTAGCAATCTGCATCGGCGGAAGCTCTACACTTAGCCCAATCAGGCACGCCAGAAATTGATGCCTAGGGCCTGCAAGGATCTTAGTCAGCAAATCAGCCAATTGTTGCTCACCTGGGCAATGATCAACCTCTAGTTCCTTTCTTTCAACCTGATCCTTGACGAAGTTTGATCTTACCCTTAGGTGCCTAGTTCGCTGGGAACCCGAGCCCTCAACGAGAGCTATCGCCGCTAGGTTATCAACTAAGAGTAGTTTTGTCCTTAGATCACTTGTAAGCTCTAGTATCAGCGACTCCGAGCTCTGACCCATCACTACTCCCTCACAAGCGGCAATTAACTCCGACTCTGCCGTCGACAGGGACACCAAAGCTTGCTTCTTGGCCTTCCACACAACCGACCTTCCATGATAGGTGATCAAGACCCCAGTGATGCTGTGCGAGCCATAGGGTGCGAATGAAGCATCGGTGTACACGACCATTCTCTTTTCTCCCTCAACCGGAATCAAAGAGAGCTTCCAGTCCTTTGTAGAACCCAGAAAATGCAACAGTCGCTGGCCTAGACGTATCACGTGTTCAGGTGCCTTCGTACACCACGAGCCCATAAGGGACACAGTGTAAGCTGCATCAACGCGAGTCCTCTGCGTCAGCCAAAGCAGCTCCCCGGTAATACGTTGCGCTCTGCGCAGCGTCTCGGGAGTATACCCTTCCTCATGCTCCGGTGCTTCCTTCACCCACTCACGGGGAACAGGCGTACGATGCCTTGGCTCTAGACTATACATCCTTAGGAGCTCATCTATGTAACCCCTTTGGCCTAGCAGGAAGCCCTGACGTCCCTCGGTATCTTGGCCAATGCTTATCTCGACTCCAAGAAACGTAATTGGCTTCGATAGCGTGGCTTCCTCCAAGGGGGTGCACTGCCACATGCTTCTCAACCATGCATAGGCCTTCTCAGCTTCAGGTTTTGTAGTCAAGAACATCATATCATCTACGTAAATGATAACAAAGCCTATGACTTGATCATCGGAATTTAACATTTTCCAAACATTTCCCTCCGCATTGGACTGTTGCAACCGTATCAGCCCAGACTCACCTTCCCAAGTTGCACCTTTAAGAACGGAGTCCCTATAATCACTCCACCACTTCGGGCTCTGCCTCAAACCGTACACTGCCTTGCAAACCTCCCAGCACTCATCATGAGTAGTGATACCCATCTGCTCGAGCAGACGCGGAGGCTTGAGGAGTATTCTGCCGGCCATATTCAAAGGCAGTGGAGCAAGAAGGAAAGCGTTTTTAATATCTGTTACGAAGGCAAGAAACTTCCGAACCGCGGATTCAACCAAAATTGTGCGCAGGGCCTCGGCCGGAACGCCACCCGCATACAACTCCAGGCCAGGATCCTTTTCCTCGAAGTTTCCACAGCCTACCACTCTGCATTTCCTACGAAACCAAGCGGTATCGGCTCCTGGTTTCACAGTGAAAACAGTCTTCGCGGGTAACACCTGCACATCCGGTCGCGACATTGCCTTTGTAACATCTGAGCCCTGAAGCCTTTTAATACCCTTCATGGTCTCTAAAGCATTCACCTCTGCTCTTGCTGCTGGGATCCATTTCTGCAAATGCTTACGGACTCCATCCGGCGAGACATTGTGTACAACCTTAAGGGCATCAGTTAGGTTGTCCAAAATATTTTCAACATCTTTGGTGTAGAAGGATTCGTCTATCTTACACACCTGTGGGTCTGCGCTTAACGTCCTACCTGGCTGACCGACAACCTTCAGTGGATCAGTCGTCGGTACCCCAATCCTTGACGTAGTTTGCGCTGGTTGGTGGGGCAGACAATGATCGCTGCTGGGCAAGTTCCCAGTTGGGGTGCTTTCACCGTCATCATTGCAAGTAACCATTCTGCAGCTATATCCGGAAGAAGAGGCTCGGTTCTCCTCTTCACCAGGTGGAGAATCATCCTCTGCACTATCCCTTCTAAGGAAAACTGTACCCAAAGCGTCCACCGGGTATCCTGGTGGAAGATCATCCTCCTCCTCGTCCCATACGGACTGCATAAGCATTGCATGTAGGGCGTATTCCTCATCAAGGGACCTGTTCTGCTGACCTTCCTCATGAAAGCTGCAGTCAACTTTAAACAAACCAAGGCCACCTGCTGCAACACTCGGAATCGGGTCATTCGAGCTCGCACTAGGTTGGGGCCTAAGGTCAGGGCTATCAGAACCTTGCGCGGGGCGGACAGCAGCCTCAGTGTATTCTATCCATCGTTGTTCATTCCTTCTTCTTTCTTCACTTATTATCCAATCTTCTTCCCGCGGCCTATCCTCGTCTTCATGGCCCTTAACTCCTATTCCTCTCAGAGGTGGGTCGGGAGATCTAAACCCTAGGGTTCTATTCTGGAAAATCCATGGGAGCTTGCGATGCTGGCGGTCTAGAAGCTGGACCTCCCCTGTGGTTAGCGAACACAAATTGGGATTATCGGGTCTTACAGTACCCGACGGGTGTATACCTCGCATGATTCGTGAAGCATTTTCAGGAGAGAAACCATTTTCGATCAAGTCCTCTTCATACAACAACGCAAGGTCCGCAGCCTCTTCGACTCCCAAGACCCTAAGCTTTCTGCACAACCAAGCGACACCCCGATCATCAAGAAACTGATACAAGTCAGTCTCCTCAAGGTTATGCACCGGTGCATGCTGAGGATCAGAGGTCGAGAAATCCCAACCTACAACTGGAGTCACTGAGTCCTCTTGCTCATCATCACTGAACCCCCATCCGGGACCGGCATCCTCGGACATTGCAGTTGACTCACCATTCAACTCAGGCAATTCCTCCTCCGAGCGATCCGAACTCGTATCATTCACCCTTACAGCTGAAACGCAGTGTTCGGCTCCATTTCCATCTTCAAAACGAAATCCAACCTCCTTAAGGAAAGACTTTGCTTCGATGTTAATCTTAGCTGTACCCAATGGTGTATACCCGACCAAGAACCAATCCGGAGTCCTTGTAACTAAGTGAGGGATCCTTGCATCAAAACTAGCAACGCGGCTGGTAAGGGTGTGTACCTGCTCCGAATGGAGCTCAAAGCTTCCTGGTACGCACATGATGAAATTCTTGGAACCCCACTCGTTCCTGACGTCCTTATGCAGCTCAACCTCCGTGGCCCTAAGGATCATCAAGGCTGACCATTGTGGGTTGTCAAGATCAGGATTCAGACTGGTCCGCCTTCTCAAAAGGTGATTCAGGAATTTGGTGGTTTGCGGAAGGCGTTTGCGCAATCTAGTCGCGCCCCTCTGTCCTCCATGACAAAAGGCACCCAAGACGTACTTCTCCTGAACTCCACCTCTACGATCACCAGAAGGCTTCTCCTGGCTCTCAAGAAGACACACCATCCTTCGGAACGCCTGGTCCGATATATCATCATCAAGTAGTAGTTCAGCAGCCAATGCTTCAAGGGATGATTGCCCTTCGGAGGCATCAAGAAAGCTAACCCTCGATTTTCCTCGCACACGTCTGTCCGGCACCTTCACCTCCTCACCATCAGGCACGGAAACCGGCTCTAAACCATCCCCAAGCTGAACTTCCTCCTCCTGAAGAATAGGTAAGTTCAAACCCTCTAGTTCACTTGGGTCTACGGTGTTGGCCTTAAATCCCTTAGAGGCAACCAGGTTACCGGCAGCGGTGATTAGGACGTGGCCGTCCGATATGGATCGATGTGGACATGCGTACTGTGCATTAATCCATCTTTCCATAAGCTGCTTCGCCCCATCTGCTGGACGCTTGATTCGGTGTAAAACCTGCTGCCCAAATCCTGGGGGGCTAGGCCTATTCAAGATTGCACAGTTATGCTTGTGTGCAGCCCATCTTCCGGCTAGGGGCCACCAACATATTGGCAACGACGCGCTACGGAGTAAGGTCCTTATTCTTGACTTAAACCAACCGACGGTCCTTTCGGCCAATCCATTTGCTTTCTTATCGGTGGGCAGGGAATTAGAAACCCTTATTCCCCTATCCCCAAACCACCTCGCGAGGGCAGTAGTCGAGAACTCTGTTCCCGGGTCGTGATGGACGCTCCTAATCGGAAACTCTAAGCCTACATTCAATATCATACGTTGCACGGCTTCGGTAACTTCCGGTCCGTTCTTGGTTTTCATTGGGATGAAGTACCTTAACACCACCTGTTCAACCGGCGTGGCGAGCTCCTCCGCGAGAGCCTGCATTGCCTCTTTGTCCAGTGGTACAGATTCGGAGCCTTCCTCCAAGGACTCAAAAGCTCGAACGGTACTCTCATCTCCACCCAAGGGCAAAACCTCCCTGGAAGGATCAACCTCAGTTTCAAGCTCTGGGAATAAATCGTTACCGGGATCCGAGGGCTCATACAAGCTATCCATTGCATCCTCTGGGAGATTCCCTTCATCTGGAGTGGCGGGCCTAACTAGGTCTTCAACCCCTATCTCTTTAGGCTCTGCCACTAGGACGGACTTAGGAATTCTTAGAGCCCCTATTAAGCCGTATCTCATGACACATTTCCCAGTAACGCAGGACTCATCCCTACCTGCTTCGGACGGTGGGACTGGGCCAAATAGGTCCAATGACAACGCGTAGGATCTCGGATGTTTGACCTTCGCATGAAACGGGCCCAGACCTGCCCCTTCCACGCATTGCCTGCAATCTTTGCGATACGGGATATGTCCATTCAAGACATGCTGTCTCCATTTTTCAAGGTCGGCCGAAGAAAGCTCCTTTACCTCCTTGACCTCGGCAGATGTATCAAACTCTTCTTCTCCATCCGATGATGAAATATCACTATCCTGCTCAAACATCCGGTTTAGTCGCTCCTCCTCAATTGCCGCAATCTGTTGTGCAACAGCAAAATCCCTTTCCCCTTGCCGGGCACTCCTTATCACCGCATCCAACGCTTCACAAGTAGCTCCAGCAGGAGTTCCAGACAACGCTCGCACAATTTCCCTTCTGAACTCCACTGTCCAGACGGGTCCTTGTTTGGGATTCTCAAGGGATCCTTTCATTGGCAGCCTCGCTAAGAAACCCATGTTCAAATTCGAGGCTATTCTGGTGGGTCTTGCGCCATTCCCGACCACTGATTGAACTTGATCACAGGTTCCTCCTTTATGCCTGAAACCTCACTCAAGAAGGGAATGCCTTGCCCGTTTGCAACAGAGGCAAGCGACCACAAGAACTTATCCTGATATTTCAGCACCTCCTTGCTGGGATCAGCATGCATTGGCGGTGATGAGAGGATACCTGACACCTTGCCTGCCGCGGCTGCCCAAAGCAAAACGCGCCAAACACCATCACGCTTGGTCAGGTCCCATCCCTTTCCACCCTTTTCTCTTATGTCTACTGGAAGGAAGCGAAACCCACGTTCCTCACACCAGCATGCAACGGGATCATCGCACTTGGGTTCTCCCGAACATAGATGCACTATCCAACGATCAGATTGCAACAGTGCTCTACGAGCTGCACGCTTTAAAGGTAGATTCTTCATAAGCTTCCAACCGGTCTCAGACGAAGTAGACTCGAATCCTTCTGCCATCCATGCCTTCAGGGCCATGGGAACGTCCTCAAGATAAGGTTGGGCTATAAGGGCCTGCAAGGCGTCACCTCGGTCCCCTGATGCCACATACCTCCTCAGGGTCTGCGTGGGGTCTGGGGAGGACTGCAAATGCTCTATCTGACACTCCAAGTCCTGAATACGGTCGCGGAAGGACTCCAAGCGCTTGCTCTCAAGCTCAGCTATCATAGTGAGTGCCTGGTCTTCCTGAACCAGTGGACAGTGATTGCTTGACAAACCTGTGTTCAATGCCCCAAGGGTAGGATGACTCACCTTCAAACCCTTCCTCTTTGACCATTCCACCGTACAACCCAAAGTTTCGACTAAGGATCCCAACGGGAGGATGGTTTGCGGCTTCGGGCTCTTATCATTATCCTTCCCCGAGGGTGGGACCACCAGCGTTCCCCCTTTAGTCTTCAACCATTGCTGACGCTCGTCTCCCGCCAAGGTTACTGGCACTGACTCCAGGTTTCCAAGCGATTGATCATAGGGAATCACGGCATGCGTAGCCCCGGAGTCTAGAAGGGCCAAAGCCTTTGCCAGCCTATCCTGATCGGCACTGGAGTTAGAAAAGGTTCTAACCATAGGCTCCTTCGTGGCAACCAAGGCACGCAAACCATCAAGCTGTTGTCTCAGACCCTCAATCGGAACTCTTTCCCAAGCATTGTCCAGTAGCTCCTCCTCAACCTGCAAACCTCTAATCTCGGGATTGCCCGCCATGCTCCTTAGGGTTTCGAGCTGCGCGCTTAGTGAGGCTAGCGTCACAGGAGTACCCTGTACCGGAGCTCCTTGAGCTGCTCCAGTACTCCCATTTGCTGAAGGGACAGGAGGACTAATCGGGACAGCCTGAACGGGAACCTGAGAGGGCGGAGCAGGACTCGCGGACTCCGGCATCGCCTGTTGCAAGATTCGGGCTGCATCCGCAAGCATCGATTTAATATTCTGCTTGTGAACGGTCAGGACTTCCAGTAACCTCTGATCCTCCCTTCGGATTCGCCTGACCTCGGGACGGGGTCTTTGGTGCTGGCGGGGACTTATCATCCTTCGTTCCTGCCTTACAGTCCGAAGCCCTATGGTTTCGACTGCCACAGGACCTGCACCTCTGGGATTTCTCCTCCTTGGAGAAGGAGTTCCAGTTGTGCTCGAAAGAGCAATCGGCACCCTTTTTACACCCATTATTCTGTACGTAGAAGGTACAGGGTACCTTTCCAGACTGAGCATCTCCTGAAGGCGGATTCTTAGGAGGAGGTCCGGATTTAGGGGTGGACTTAGGATTCCTGGGTCCCTTAGGGTTGGGTGTAGGAGCTGCTGGCGTCGCTTCAACTCCTTTAACCTTGGCCTGAGGTGCACCGTCCTTAGCCTTATCCTTATCCTTATCCTTATCAACCTCCTTATCCTTGCCCCCTCTGTGGTGGATGGCCTCTAGCTCGCTCAAAATTTGAGCATGCAGTTTCATCACTTTGTCATTGTCTGGGTTCATGTCCACCTGCAATGACGCACGGCTCAAGTTCACACGGAACCCTACATCAGGGTTCTTTTCCAAGGCCATCCTAGATATTTTCGTTATCGCCTTGACTTGCAGCGCACAGTCCGGTAGTGAGCCACCGAGCTCTGACATCCGATTGCACCACCTCTTCCAGCGACGCAATAAATCTATAGTGTCGGATACTCCGGCACCTGCAGCCGGATCCTGGATATGCCGAAGGCCAAGTTCACGCTCTGTCAAACTACCCGGACCGTAGATTATGAACAACTTGCATACAAGTGGGAAAAGTCCTGACACCCGTGCCGCGCTGACTTCATCTTTAACGCTGTTAGGTGTAGCTGCAAGTATCATAGTTTCCATTCGTCTGGATACTCTCTGCCACCGAGGTTGCTCTATGTCGGTAGAAGGATTAGTTCGGTGTGTCAAACGGCCTAGCGGGTCCAACCTCAAGTAGACCTTATACCATTCGGTGGCCTCGCTAACTACCATAGACCAAAGTTCTTCTGAGTTATCGCTCACATCAGCAAGGGCTGGCCTTACATTATGCAGCCAGTCCGCAAACAGAAGACAAGACTCAGCTCCTAAGTCTGGTAGATTTGGTAGCGACTGCACACCTGGTTTAATCACCTCAGCATGTTGACCTGTCTTCGGCGACGCTGCAATCTCAGTAACTATACCCTGCAATTGTGCCATCCCCGTAAGAACCACATTTAACGGGTCCAGTGTCTGACCTTGCGCATGCACCTGACCTGAAGGCTGCGGAACCTGTCCTGAAGGCGGAGGAACCTGACCTGTAGGCTGCGGAACCTGACCTGTGGGCCGCGGCACCTGTCCTGAAGGCATCGGCACCTGTCCTGAAGGCAGAGGAACCTGACCTGAAGGCATCGGCGGAACCTGACCTGAAGGCTGTGACACCTGACTTGAAGGCATCGGTGGAACCTGACCTGAAGGCTGTGGAACCTGACCTGAAGGCATCGGCGGAACCTGACCTGAAGGCTGTGGCACCTGACCTGAAGGCTGTGGAACCTGACCTGAAGGCATCGGCGGAACCTGACCTGAAGGCTGTGGCACCTGACCTGAAGGCATCGGCGGAACCTGACCTGGAGGTTGTGGTACATAACCCGGAGGCTGTGGCACCCGACTTATCATCATCATCATCGACTGTTGAGTATGCGGAGGTATGGTCTGACCTTGGGCCAAAGGTATCTGTTCTGGCGGCAAAACCTGACCTATAGGCAACAGTGGAACCTGACCTGAAGCTGGCAGAACCTGACCTGCAGGCGGCGGTAGAACCTGACCTGAAGGTGGCGGAACCTGACCTGTAGGCTGTGATACCTGATCAGGAAGCTGAGGAACCTGGTCTGTCGGGGAAACTCCAATATTCAACGACTGTGGAAACGCTCCCATACCAAGCGGTGGTCGACTTGAGGATTGGAAGTCCAAAGGAGTGCCTCGGGAGTCTTGTGGCCTCAAATCCAAAGCCCGACTAGAACCCATAAGATTCTCCAAACCTCTACCCAACCATCCTAGACCGGGAAAGCCATACATCAAAGAATCACCCCTTCCTACACTGGTTCTCATCTGTACACCACCTCTCGTCTGTACATCGTCTACCATCCTACCGCGCAACTCGCTATTCTCCATGGCCAGAGCTTCAACCTGAGCCCTCAGCCTTCTACCCTCCTCATCTCGCAAAGCCATTAGCTCCGACAGTTGCCTCCTGACTTCAGCCTGAATGTCACTCGAAGAGGTCGACGGCGGATTGGGCATTCGCCCCGAAGTTGCACCTCCACTCGGGTACAACAATGGTGCTGCCCTCTCCATCTCTCTCATTCTCTGGACCATCGCTTCCGTCAGCAACGGCGTAGGAGGAAGTTGAGTAGCCGAGGGCGGTCTCTGCTCCCAGCTGGTTGTTGATCTCACTGACGCGTATTCAACTGCATCCTGGTTACTCGGAGAGGGCTGCTTCGGTGCTGCCCCTGGAATAACCTGCTCCACCACTGTCGGGATGGACTGTATCACTCTGGACAATCCACCCAGCACACCACGTGGAGCGCTCGACGAAGGTTCATTGAGACCTTCAAGGAAGTCTCCAGCCGTCTGTGGAACCGAACGTTCCGTTGCTGCGTTGGCTCCCTGAACCGTGCGAGGGACAGCTCGCGGGCTCACTGTTTCTCCATCCATGTCATACGGACTTCGATTCAGCGGTTGCGGAGTCACTCCATTGACCCGCGGAATATCCCCCGTAGCACCAGCGGTGGTAGGGTTTGGGCTACCCATAACCTGTTGATCATCATATTGATCATTCGAATTTGGATTATCCGTCGAGGATGCCATGGACCTGAGGTTGTTCGGGACGTCGAGGTTAAAACCAAGACAGGCGGCAAACGTCCATGGGCTCACTACCTCGTTTTCACAACTCGCAAACTTGTCATGTGTACATAGCCCTCAGGGCGAATGATGCACATTGTATGCGATGCTTTCATGTCATGCATGCTTGGACTCTGTCCTAAGCTGTGGGCTTTGCCGTTCATGGCATGCCGAGCCTTCAAGGCTTCAAATTCGACGTTATCAGGAATGGAGCTACGACCTACACGTAGAGCGACGCACGCATAGGGAACTCTACAAACCCCTATAGATCCCTTTACAGGAGCCTTTTAAGGAACCCTAGCCCCCAAACCCTAACCATCGATAAATCAGAACCCCGCCAGGAAAGCTCTCTTAAACAAGACTGACCCCTTAGCCGACACCTCCTCTGCCTAGGGCAAAGGTCGGAGGATCCCATGCTCACAGCATAGGAGTGTCGCTTGTAAAGGGCTCCTGACAGGGTGTCTTTTTAAAGATGCCTTTTAAAGCGGTTCTGGTTTTAAGGGTTCTTTTGCAATGGCTCCGTTTAAGGGTTCCTTTTCTCAGGGTTCCTGTTGTACGGGATCGCGAGCTTCATAAGAGATCTACCAGGTTTCGTAAGGGTCCTGGTCGGGTTTCTAGTTCTTTCCTTCGGGTTCCTATACGGTGGTAAGGGTTATGTAACAATTTCCAGAACGGGTTCTAGCGTTCGGGCATGAGCAATCAGTAGTTTTTTTAGGATCCTTGATATAGACCCCTAAACCCTAAACCCTAAACCCTATAGCATCATCTTCTCCAACCCAGTTCTGATTATTCAGGTTTCGTCAGGGTTCTATGCCCTCTTGCATGTTACAGCGGTTCCATATGGGAGATTCCAGCAGGGAACCCGAATATACTCAATAAGCAATACAACATGAAAGCCTGCAAGCATTGAGCCTAACACCTGAAAACAGATCCCCTAAGCGAGATACGCCTACTTTTAATTCACGATAACACATCGCGTGCTAAAGCATTGTGGAGCCCTATCCGAACCTGTGCTCTTGATTCAAAATTAGCTTATATTCCTTACAAGGGAGCCCTTAAGCCTATCCCGCTCTCTATCTCCATCTGAATCTGTATCTCTCTCCATCTCTCGTTCTCTCTCTCTCCCTCTCTCCCTCTCTATCTCTGTCTCTATCCCTGTCTCTATGTCTATCCCTATCTCTAGCTCAAGCTCTGCCTCTGTTTCTATCGCTACATCTACCCCCTAGCTGCATCTATCTGTCTATCTATCTATCTATCTATACTTATATGTCATCATCTATATATATATATATATATATAGATATACATACATACATATCTAGTATATATATATATATACACATGTATATAGACACATACACACGTACGTACATACCCTTCAAGAAAAAGACCCCCCCAAATCTTGGCAGCTCCCGCCATGTCCAGGCTCAACCGCTCTGATGTCCTGGAGGAGCTTTTAGTCCAAGTTTCTTCTAGGGCTTCCTAAAAGGGACCCCAAAAGGGTTTAGGGTTTAGGGATTCCTTCAAGGGTTCTATAAGGTTGCGGGTCTAGGGTTTAGGGTTTAGGGCTTGAGGGTTTAGTGGTTTAGTGGTCTAGTGGGTTAGGGTTTAGGCCTTGGGGTTTAGGCCTCCGGGAGGGATTCCTGTAAGGGCCCTGCTGCAGGTGAGAGGTGCAGGGTTTGGAGGAACCGTACGGTTCGTATAGGATTGATTAAGGATTTTACGGTTCGGGGCGAACAGGCCAGAGTTTGGGGTTTTGCAGTTGGGGGGGAGATGTGATTAGTAATGGCTTGAGTTTGCTCGTCGGAAGGTCGACGCCTTCTTATTGGAAACTATGCTCCTCCGAGTAGACGTCCCCAAACCAAATGCTAAACAAGCAACTTCCGACCCCTCACAGTATGAAGCCTGCCAGGGTCTGTGGTGGAGTGCTTAGGGTTGCAAACGCTTCAGAAAAAGTCTTGAACCCTATTGAACCCTTACATAGAGCCCTTAAAGGATTTGTTAAACCCAAAAGCCTAAACCCGTCTTAACCCCATATATAGAACTCTTAAAGGATTCGATAAGCCCCCAAAGCCTGCGCAAGCGTTCGGAGGATCATGGGACTTAGTAAGTAAGGTTATAAGTACCTTAGTTGGGGTTACAAGTATAGTTACCCTAATTGTAGCCCTAGGTGCTAAGTCCCATGATCCTTTAAGTAGACCCTATAAATCCCCTCCTAAAATAGAACCCCTATAGATCCCTTTAAAGGAGCCCTTTAAGGAGCCCTAGTTCCTAAGTCCCATGATCCTTTAAGTAAGCAAAGCCTTCGGAGGATCCCTCCAAGCTGCTGGAGCTCACTGGGGTGCGGCTGATGCGTCTTTGCGACGGTTTAGGGTTTTAGGGTTTTGGGTTTTGGGGGGTTTCGGAGTTTTGGGGAGTCCGCAATGCGAAATCCTTAAAGGAACCCCCTAAAAGAATTCTACAGGAGCCCTTTAAGGGAAGCCTTAAAGGAACACCTAAAAGGACCCTAGAGGAGCCCTTTAAGGGAAGCCCTTAAAGGCAACCTTAAGGCTTTGGCTAGGGCTGTCAGGTTTTGGGATTCAGGCTTTCGGGTTTGGGGGGTGGAGGGCTTTAGGCTTTAGTGCCTCAGGGTTCGATTCGTGGATTCAGAGCTTTCAGGTCGAGGGCTCTACTTAAAGGATCATGGGACTTAGTAACTAGGGTTATAATTAGGGTAACTATACTTATAACCCCAGTTAAGGTACTTATAACCTGACTTACTAAGTCCCATGATCCTCCAAGTAGGGTTGTCGGAGGTTTAGTCAGGCTCACCTACACGCCCCATCAACCCTCTACTAGAGCCTGGATACCTACCATCAGGTAGGGACCATGTACTATAGGGGCCTAAATAATTACCAGCACAATTTTTGGGTTCCTCATTTTACACTTATAATAGAGTATACTATTCTAATTATTAAGTTATAGTACAATATACCCCCAAATCCTACTCTAATGATTAAGACCCCTGTACTACCTCTGTTCAAGGGTACTGGCAGTGGGTTTCAGTGGTCTTGGAGGCTTCATGGAAGTCGTAGGGCCGCTGTTATCATCGGGGGCTTGATAGTGGGAATATGTTACGATAGTCTACAGTAAATACCCAAAAGTTGGACACCCAATAGCCTCCATCCTTGAGAGTAATGTATAGGGAATCCCAGCACTACTTTGGTCTTAATCCGGTTTCCAACTTTATGGGGCTTAGTGCAAAAGTACTTTCTTTGGGGTCCGAGTATGACTACAGTAGAACATGTACCCCAAAGCCCTACAGCTACATTTATTCCTTTCGGGGTCCCTGGGTATGAGTACCGGAGTACACTGTAATTTCTCCCCAGATTCAGTTTATTAAGGCGGCCTTTGGGGTGTAAGTGTAAACCCTAGACCCCAACCCCTGAACCCCTCACCCCTAAACCCCCAACCCCCTAAACCATAAACCTCCCAGAGACTCCAATATCCTTTAATTAAGGAATATACCTTAGATTTTCGTGGGATCCCTGATATGATTTAAGGTATAGTCCTCACTTGAGGGATATTGGAGTCCCCTAAACCCTAAACCCCATAGATCCCCGATACTACCCCTTAAAGGAACCCATAGAGATCCCTTTAAGGAACCCTAGGAGTCACTGGGCCCCTAAATCTAAACCCCTAAACCCCCGAAACCCAAAACCCGTAAACTGGGGGCCTCTTAGAGGATCATCGGACTTAGTAAGTAAGGTTTAGGGTCCCTTTTTAGGGTACTAGAGGCTTCTATAATAGGGTTCCTTAAAGGGATCTGATAAGGGGTCTATAATGGAGGATCATGGGGCTTAGTAAGTAAGGTTATAAGTACCTTCATTGGGGTTATAAGTATAGGTACCCTAATTATAACCCTAGTTACTAACTTCCATATCCTTTAAGTAGACCCTATAAATCCCCTCTTAAAATAGAACCCCTATAGATCCCTTTAAAGGAGCCCTTTAAGGAACCCTAGTTACTAGGTCCCATGATCCTTTAAGTAGGGGCCTTTTGCAGAAGATCGGGGTTCGGTTTTGGGTTTAGGGTTTTGTGCCGCTTTTTTTCGGGATGCTAGGGTGGCTCAGAGGCTCACGAAGCGCTGGAGCGGCTAGGGTTGAAGGTTTAGGGGTTTCAGGGCTTAGGAGCGTTTGGGTTTAGGGTTTTAGGAGGTTTTTTTGTTAAGGGTGTGTTTTGGAGTTTTGGCTTCATGGGTGTAGGGTTGATGATGGTTTAGTGCGGGGCCGATCCCGAAACCCTCAAACCGTGGTGCCTGAAAAACCCTCAACTCAAAAGCCTGAACGGCTTAAGGGTTTTCGGGTTGTGAACCCTGAAGCCTTCAAACCGTTTAGAAACAAGACTCCCATAAACCCCCCCCCCTATAGCACCCCTCAAAGAAGGGCTCCCCTCGTTTCGAACTCTTAGGGTTTAGGGTTTAGGGTTTAGGGTCTTAGCATTGCAGTTATAGTACACGCTTATGGTGCTAGTAGCACCTACTGTATAGTCACAGGAGGGAGCTTGGAGGTTCGTGGGTAATCCCTAAACGCTCATCCCCAAACCCCATAGAACCAAAGACGCTTTCCCAACCGGGATTCCTCTCATGCAATTGGAAAAGGCGTTCAAAAAAAACCTATAGAACCCTTAAATAAAAGGGCCTCCCCGTAGCTGTTTTACGGGAATGGTGAAGCCAAGCCCTTTTCACGTCAAGGTTTGAGCCGCAGGACTCGGCGACAGCCTTGGAGCTCTCAGGGTTCCACACCAACCGCTGCATGGTTACTGTAAGGGTTTAGGGTTTAGGGGTCCTTGCAAGGGTTACTAAGTTACTAAGGGTTACAAGAACAGGCGTGCGGTACGGCTTTAGTTTACGGGCCTGAATGATTAGGGTAGGTTTCGAGGGTATTTTGAGGCAAGTGGGGGGTGGTTACTTGGAGGTTCATGGGTAGCTATAAGTGGGGTTATAAGTAGGGTAACCATAGTTATAACCCATACTAGGGGACTTACACCCCCACTTATAACTACGCATGAGCCTTCAAGCAGGATTCAGCGGTTTCGCTCTTTTAAGTTTTGACTACAGGGCCTTTACCGACGGCTATTATTCCATTATTGGTGGAGCCCCACGACTTCCATCATGTTTTACTTAGGTACGGCCCCCTTACAGTGAGAGTCTATACTAGAGCTACTGTTAAGGTCCTAATTTACTAATATATCTATATTATGAATACTATTCAACTATTACTGAGTGGGGGCCGTACCCAGTGTTTTACACGTTTGCAGTTTCTCACAGCGTTTTTGGGTGGTCTGGGTGCTTTATGCATCTCGGATCTGCAGCCATCGCTTACCCTAAACCCTAAACCCAAAACCCTAAACCCCAAAACCTTAAACCCTAAACCCAAAACCCTAAACCCTAAACCCAAAACCCTAAACCCTAAAGCCTAAACCCTAAACCCTAAACCCGAGTTTTAGGTTGGCTTGGGGGGCTTAGGAGTGAGGGCCTGGAGGGTTACATCATCTACGGCTTAGGTGTTTAAAAATTTCAGGTTTGTGTGCACGTTCTATAAGGGAGATTCCGAAAATAGGGGACCCCCAAAAAAAAGTACCCTAAATAGTAGGATCCTTATTATAAGGACACCAGAATAGGGTACCCCCCCATTTTCGGAAACTCCTATAAGGCAATAGCAGTCCCTCGCAGTCCCTCCTAACGTACATGCAAGCACTAAATCCTACAAAACCGATCACAAGGGTGGCCTGAATTCCCGTAGCCGCCGGCATACCGAGGGCGCCACCGAATACTACCGTGCGACAGAGTCCCGCTTTGATCAGACAGTCTGCCCCAGCTCCAGCCGCGCTGTTGCACTACATAAACTAAACTGGGGCTTCATTCTTCCTTCGGGTTTTTAAATGGAGTTGCAGACGGTTTTATGAGGGTTTTTGGGTTTTGTGATGCAAGTAAGTAGGGTGTTGGTGGGCATGTTTTGGGATACTCGGGACTGTTTGTGAGTGTATGTTTGGAGTGTTGATCCGGTGAGGCTACAACTCTCCCTTGTATTTTACGGTCTTAGTGTTGCCCATGCCTTAGGCATCATCTTTGAATGTTGTTGTGGTATACAGCCAAGGGGTTCTTCATGGCAACATTCTTATTATGGAACCTTGAAAGTGCTTACAGCCTTATTATCCTATCCTACAGTGCCTCCAAATCATGCCCCGATGTCCGCCGCTCACATTGAACCCTGAACCATGAGCCCGATCACCCCAAAACCTCAGCCTCAAACTCCTCCAGCCTGAAAAAACCCTAAACCCTAAACCTGAAGCCCGAAGCCTTAAGACCATGAGCCGCATCATAGACCTGAGCCGACCTTCAAGTATCCGGGGACTTATATAGACGTCCCATAAACGTGAAGGGCTCGATACCGGTTCGGGGATCAGTAGGACTTCTGTTCGGGCTTCAGGGTTCAGGGTTTTGGGTTCGGGAGTGTGTTCGGATTTATGGGCTTAGAGGGCTAACAGATCACTTTTTCGATGCTACGATACTCGATTCTATGTCTTGATTCCATTTCATTGTCCAGGCTTCTGTGCTCAGACTTTTCGTCTGCACGTAGGAAAAGAAGGCTAAAAGTGTTGTCATCATAAGGTTTGAGGGCTTTAGGTCGTCATCTTAAACCCCCTAAACCCTAAACCCTTTAAGGGCTTTGGGTCTATGGGCCAGGCGTTTCGGGTCTTGAGCTTTGGGGGCAAAAGACCAATCCCCCTATCTCCGTCAAGGTTCCGCTTATCGGTAGGTTATGATGGGTTTATAGGGATCCTATAAGGGTATAGGGTTTAGGGTTTATAAGTAGGGAGTGGGGTTCCTCTGAGGGTTCACAAAGGCCTTTAAGGGATCTATAGGGTTTAGGGATTAGGGTTTTAGGGTAGATATAAGTGGGGTTATAAGTCCCCTGATATGGGATTATGGTTACCCTACTTAAAACCCCAGTTATAACTACCCATGAACCTCTAACTATGGTTTGGCATTTCAGGTATTTGCGTCGTAGGTTTTGTTGAGCCTGGCACACGCTACTCGAGCCTAGACCCGAAATCACCTTCGCTACCTTTGGGTGGCTGTCAAAATTAGGGTCCCTTGTTGAGTACCCTAAATAGTAGGTGCCGTATTATATGAAGGACCGAAAAAAGGGACCCTAATTTTGACGACCACCCATATGGGATTCCGAGCACCCTGCAAACGAGAGAGAGCTAGCCACCCCCAGGGATCCAAACCCAATGCTCTCCAGTATGATAGTCCCTAATAGTCCATGTTTTTGGTGGGGATCTACAAGTGGTCTATAGGGGGATCAATAAGGATCCTAGAAGGGGTTGTGGTTTGGGTTGGGAGGCCCAACGGCACCGAGCCCAAACCCTCTACGCGCTGGATCGCTCAACACCTGAACACGCCCATACAAGACCCTTCTGGGACCGTTAAAGATGCACCCTGTAGATTCCTTGCAAAGCCCGCGCAGAACCCTTATGAAGCCTTTGACCAAATCTGTGAGGCCTCGACATCAAGTGGCTCACGGACGGAGATGGTTCTCACTCGCCAGAGCTTCGGACGACAGAAGGGTAGAGCGGAAAGATTAGCTTTGTAATGGTATTCCCGTTTGGGGGTTTTAGGGTTGGCATTCAGGGTCTTATCTCCCCGGTAACCCTATTGTGCTGATAACCTCCCCTATATGAACAGAAGACGCGAGGGGCTCTCTGGGCAATGGCTGATTGCTCAGTTCATGGTATCGGGATCTGGGTTACTGCTTGTGGGTACCGTTGAATAGAAGCAATAAGGGCTTGGGGGTTGAGGCTATGCTAAGTTAGGGTTTCCTTTAGCTTCCAATCCATTGTCAGTTGGTAAGCACGGAACACCTCGATTTTGAACTTTGCCCTTTTGAGGAGAGCCGTTGGGGCATCTTCGCGCTCGTCACGCCCGAGGGAACGTGCCGCGACGGCACAGCATCGGGGAGAGCCTTTGCGTGTGCGTTTGGGTTGTCCTTGGTGTGCTAGCAACAACACCCCTACTCCTCTTCCGGGGGTCGCAGTTGAAACTCAGGCGCGGAAATAAACGTGTAGACATTCGTTCTACAACGTCCACGAAGGCAAACTATGGATACTGGTGCGTATTCAAGCAGGTTAGAAAGCAGGGCGCGGATAGCGTAGAGGTCCATGTGCAGGTGTAAATACGTATGCATGCACTTATACGTAGCATTTGCATAGACAGAACTGAACCCAAGTTAATGTTCCTGAATAAGCAATGTGGCAATGTGTATATATACACAGGTCTTCACATTTTTGATGTTTGTATGTACACATATATACTCTCTTTCTCTCTCTCTCTCTATATATATGTGTGTATGTACATGCACGTATATACTTGTATATATGTATGTGTATATATATATATATGTATACATACACCCACACACATCTATATATATATATATATATATACACATACATGTATATATATGTGGGTGTATATATATATATATATATATATATATGTATATGTGTGCTGTATTGTTGCAATTCTATGTCTATACTCACTAACACGCAGGAGAACCGAAGCCCAGTGCCTTAGCCAAACCTCACAAGAAAGTAGGCTCGTGCTCCTGGCAGTGACTACCGAATACCTCAGCCGTCTTCAAGGTTCAGGCTTTGGGCTCCGGGGTTCAAGATTCAAGGCTACGAGTCGAAAATCAAAATTTTAGGTTTGAAGGTTTAGGGCTAGAGTGTCTTGCGTCAAGCAGAAGAATCAGTTTTTGTGAAGCCCCGAGACAGCCAGCAGCCCCGGCCAAGGGTGAAGGACAGCTCTGTGTGCAACAAGCTTGCGGAGATTTGGACACCTGGCCTTGCTTTGGTGGTTTTCGATCGGTGATGTCTGCTGATGACCGTTTCCTTTCGATTGTAGTCAACTTGAGTGCGTTTTTGAGAGCGGTTTCTTTCCTGACATGTCCGGCGCCCCTCGTTTCTTCCTCATTAGAGTGAGTCTGGCGCTGGTTCTGACTATGGTTCCTATGGGTCGCACGAGTACGACTATGACATGTGAAAGGCCGACAGACGCTCATGACGGTCATGCCGAGATGCCTGCCACCCTTTTGGGCGTTCAAGCTCAGGATTGAAATCACTCACTCCCTTGAGCCAGAATGTATGGTTGATGTAGACCCGCGAATGATGAATGCTGATACGGGGATCCCTATGAAGCTCCTTTTATAAGGTGAGGGCTGATCAGTCATGGGTCTGCATTAGGTTCCAGTTTACTCCCTTTAGAAGTATAGACCAAGACCTCGATCTTGGACCTACTTAGTCTATTTCTGAAGGCACACCTCTTCAGAGAAACCAGGCGTTCTCGATGTCAAGCCTTCGAATCCCAATCAACATCGACCAAATCCTAAACCCGAAATTGCGAGTTGAATACTTCACAGCCCTAAACTCTATGAACCCTGAGAGCCCAAACAGCTCCACAGCCTTGAGGGGACAACAAGAACCATGAGCCATCAAGCCCGCATGAAACCGCACAGAACACTGCAAAGCCCTGTTTGGTGAATCATTTCATGATGCAAAATTCCAGTATATCACTCTTTTAAAATTTATGAGCAAATACTGCGCTAGGACGAAAGTTCGTCGCATCCGGTAGGTCTGCTAACACACACTTGCCAACCCCTTTCCCCCATAGACTCCTTCACGAAGTCGCAATGTCAGGCCCGGACCTCACTAATTCCTCCGTCGGAACAAAAAACAGTGTATGTTTATTTTGGCATGGAAATTCCTCCGCTAGCCAGGCCATGTAAAATGCACTTCTTCGTACTCCGAGTCCTCCGCCAAGCAAAGACATCTTAGTGCGACAAAACTTTCATCCTGCTGATGTACATACATACATACATACATACGTACATACATATATATATAGGTACACATATACATACATATCATATCTTTATACACAGAAGGAGGCCCGAAGCCTTCCGTATCGAGGAATACCGAGACGCTTCGGGCCCGCGGGGCGCAGGCGGGGGAGTGCTTCTATGCGGAGACCTGGCCCCAGATGCTCTGGGGCCAAGCCCGAAAGAGCATAGGGTTTAGGGCTTAGGGTTTTAGGGCCCAGGGTTTAGGATGTAGGGTTCAGGGGTTTAGGATTTAGGGTTGATGGTTTAGGGTTTAGGGTTTTGGTTTCCGGGTTAGGGGTTTAGGGCAGGGTTGAGGCATTTAGGGTTTAGGGGTTCAGGGTTTCAGATTATTAATGGCTACTTTTACGGGTTCTATAGGGTAAGCCCCGGGAAGACCCGGGTTTTCACACGGGCGTTCTCGCATTTCGCTTCGGGTTTCTGCGGGCTTACTTTACTACGAGCCTTGTAGAGTCTACACAGAGTTTCACTGAAGGTGCCATGTAAGTATTGGAAAAATCATGTCATTAATGAGGGCTGAGAAGTGTTCGACTGGGGGTCTATAAGGGGGATGCTACCGAGGTTTAGGATTTTACAGGGGTTTCAAAAGCTGCTCGTGCTTTCCCGATTGTATAACTACCGGTTTATGTTACGCACTGAATGCCTGATGTGCAGTTTGGATAGCATGCAGATAGGGCCGAGCCAACTTCAGGCACCCGTCAACCCGATACCACTAGTTCCGCGACGCAGGGTAAGATTGCGGTGGAGCCAGAAGACTGGGACGAAGCGAGGCTCAGGCAAGGGTGTCTAGGGGTAGGAGTTTAGAGGTTTAGGAGCTGCGAGCCATCGCAACGAACATACAGTACTGGGCTGTGCCGTGCCAGGTTATGTGGGCAGGGGTTGAGAGGTTCCTCACCAGAATCAGAATGGGTTTGGGAGTACGTTCTGGTATAACATAAACTAGGAGATTTGCGAATCAGATCGCAAGTTAGAGTTGATATTCTAGTGTGTATGAAAACAAGGAACTCCTTCTCATGGGCCCTCTTCGTGAGAGACCAAGGCTCTTGGGTTTTGCCAAGCGGTTCCTTGTGTTCCCGGCCCTGACTCTCAAAGTTCGACAAACCCTGAACTCACAAGTCTTTGCACACCGTATAGGATTTTGCAGAGAGCAGGCGGATGGCAAACGGGCCGCTAATCAAGCGATGCGGCAATGCTAAATTGCAAAGCGCATCGAGTATGTCCGAATTCGTCAGCCACGAAGCATCTCAGTCTGAAACCTTCCACCTGAAAGACATTACCCTACCCCACTGACCCTAAAAGCTCTAGGATGTATCGTTCAGGGTTTTAGGGGTTCAATCGGGTTCCTGTAGGGTTGTTATTCTAATGTTTATGGTTTTAGGGTTGCAGCTTGGGGTATGAGCATCTGTGAGCACAAGCCTTCTCCGTGCGGGTCTGCTACCTCGTCAAGGGGAGATCCCTAAGACTGAAAAAGTCCCCCCTGAAGGGCACTCTGCGCCCGCCACGGCTGGCAGTTTGAGTGGATGACCGAGGCCAGTGCCTGGGAGTTTAGGGGTTGCTCTACCTTCGAATGCTGTGACAAGTATCTTTACCGACAATAGCGATAGTAAGGAGGGCCCAGCTCATCTACTCCCTATTCCACTCCTGTGCATCTGTTTCTACAGATCGTCCAGGCGTGTGATTGTGCAAGCATCGCTGGCAGGCGACAGAAAGCATGGATGCAACATAAGTTCTTAACAGCATCGCTCGTGCGTGGAGCTGTCCTCGTCTGCTGTCTCGGCCCTAAAGGGTGAAACCACCAGAGATCTCTAAACATCGGGAAGCCGAAACTCGACCCCCCCCCCTCCCTTGCCCCAAGCCAAAGACCCTAAACCCCTAACCCTAAGCCCCGTTAAGCCCCTGAACCAAGGGTCCCAAACCCTAAACTCACCTTCTTCCAGGAGGGCGAGAAGAAGCGGCGCATCGAAGGCGCCGGAAGGGCGCGGAAGGCAGCAGAAAAGGCGAGCCAGAAGGCGCTGGGAGCCCGGGGACTCCAATATCCCTTGATTAAGGAAGATTCCTTAAATTCTAATAATAGGATCCCTAATATGATTTAAGGAATATTCCTGACTTAAGGGATATTGGAGTCTCTGGGAGGGGTTCCTTTCAGGGGCTCCTGCGGGTTACTTTATAAGGGGCTGCTTGGAGAGTTCCTTTCAGTGGACCCTCTCAGGTATCTTTCAGGGTTCTTTAAGCGTTTGGGGTTTAGGGTTCCTTTGGGGCTTAGGACTTTGTTTGTAGGTTTTTATACTGGGCGCCTTGCAGAATTGTGTAAGGGTTTCATAGAAATCTCATAGGGGTTTGCTGGGTTTTGGTGGGAAGTCTCTGCCTATTCCTAACTGTTAGCCTGGAATAAGACTTGGCTGTACGTCAATATTCAAGAACCTACTTATCGGGGTCCGCAGGGACACCATTGGACTGAACTCTGCCCTTTCCCTCGAAAGACCTTGATGCGGCAGTGGAGTTGTTGTAGTTATGCAGAGATTCCAAGACCCTTTCAATCAGGCATGCACCCTAAAGCCTAGAGGGGTTCTTCATATGGTCTGAGATATGTACGCATACTTCCCATTTGATCGAAGGAAGTCCCCTGATCCTTCTTTGAAATCCGGAAAGCAGAATAGGAATCCCTTCCCCTTGGCGTCCCAAAGAGCCCTTCGTTAATGAGCCTGAAAACTCAACTCGAATTATCAAGGCCAATATATTCATCACCACAAAACCCCGGAAACCGACTGTAGTAGAATCGACCACCTAGTTTTAGGAAGTATGTTGGCAGATAATGTAGGGTTTTCAGAGTCCGGGTAGGTTCCAGATTCTAGCCTGAACCCAAACCCCTACACCCTAAACCCCCCCACCCCAAACCCTAAACCGCAAAGCCCCAAACCCTAAACCCTATAGAACCCTAAACCCTAAAACCCTAAACCCGAGGCAATCTCGAATCCCAAGGTGGAGACTCCAATATCCCCTACTTAAGGAATATACCTTAACATGATTTAAGGAATATTCCTTCATTTAGGGGGGGGGTATTGGAGTCTGAGGGGTCCCTAACGAAACCCCATTAGATCCCTGATAGGATCCCTGAAAGGAACCCTTAAGGATCCCTTAAAGGAACCCTAGGCCCTAGGTATCCCTTTAAAGGGATATTGGGGTCTTTGGGTTAAGCGTTGGTGCAGGAGTCATCAAAGGGTGGCGCCTGGTGGCGCCTGGACTCCGTAGCCAAAGCCTTTGCCTTCGACGCTTTGTGGGCAAAAAGGGTTTAGGGTGTTAGGAGTTTAAGGTGTTAGGGGTTTAGGGTGTTAGGAGTTTAGGGTGTTAGGGGTTTAGGGTGTTAGGAGTTTAGGGTGTTAGGGGGTTAGGGTGTTAGGAGTTTATAGGGTGTTAGGGGTGTTAGTGGTGTCAGGGTGTTAGGGGTCTAGGGTTTAGGGTTCAGGGGTTTGGGGTTCAGGATTCCTTTTAGGGTTTCCTTCCTAAGGGTTCCTTGTGCAAGGGTTGATGTAAGGGTTCTCGGCACGGGGTGTCTAGAGACGTAAGCGAATTAGAAGCCTGAAAAATTGCCAATGCTACTCCTTAACCCAAACCTGAAGCCCTTAAAGAAGCCTTCTTCCAGTTCAGGCTCTAGGAACCAGGGTACTTACTATAATGGCCTGAATAATCAGAATAGGGATTCGGGGTATATTATACTATAATTCGCATAAGGAACCCCCAAAACCCTATTCTGATTGTTAAGGCCCCTACATTGTAGGGTTCAGGACTGTTGAAACTCTACACGACCCCTGGCCCGATATCAGAGGGCCGGACCACACAAGTGAGCACCGCTGAGGGCAACAAGCCGCAGAACAAGGCGAAGATCCAACCGCCCGCATCTGAGAGTCGCTCGTTTCGGGTTTCAGGTTTAGGGTTTCGGTCCTCGAAAGGTGGAGGTGGCTGGGATTAAGAATTCCCTTTACAAGAAGATATGAGAACTTCTGCCGGGGATTACGACTGCTTCACCCCACCGTTGGAGCCCTTTGAGCCTTGGTGGTGGTGGTACAGTACACCCCAAAAAGTTGGAAACTGGATGAAAGCCAAATAGTGATGGGATTCCCTACGTTTTACTCTTAGGGATTCAGGCTATTGGGTTTCCAACTTTGGGGCTTCTACTGTAGGGGCACTGGTAGCGGTGGTAGTAGTTTCAGTGGTTTTGGCCGCGGGCAGTTGCAGTGGAAGTGTTGGTGTCTGAAAAGCGGTGGCAGAAGACGCAAGAGACACTGAGCCGTAAACCAGTGATTCCCACCAAATCCTTTCTAAACCCCACGAAGAGCTCATGAACGACTCATAGAAGCCCATGGCAGCCTACACAACCGATGAAAGCTCCTGAACCTTAAACCCCTAAGCCCAAAACATTACAGGCTGCAGGGGAAGAACGGGCTCCTTTAAGCCCGCAATCCTAGGACCCTAAACCCGGACCGTAAGCAAGGAAACGCAATCAAAGCTCCTGCAAAAGCCGATAGAAGCTCAAAAGAACCTTGCATAGCGTCATGAATCTCAGCAAACAACACACAGGGTTTAGGTTTCAGGGCGAAGGGCTTCCCTTAACCCCGAAAAACCTACACTTTTGAGGACATATATAAAGAAATCATAATAAGGAACCCTAAAACGGTAGGCTATTCAGGGTTAAGGCCGGCTTTGGGGAGCAATCATTCGCAACTGCACTGCAGGCCGCAGAGAAAGAAGTCGATGACGGGAGGCGAGAAAGTCACCCAAGCGGGCGCTGCCCCTTGCCCTTCAAATTTCATCTCGTTTGAGGCTTTGGGGTTTCGGGTTTGGGGGGGGGATCGGTTTTGGGGTTTAGGCGATTAGGCTCTACTTGGAGGATCATGGGACTTAGTAACTAGGGTTATAATTAGGGTAACTATGCTTATAACTTCAATTATGGTACATATAACCTTACTTACTAAGTCCCATGACCCTCCAAGTAGGCCAAGTCTTCGGACCCAGGGTTTTGGGAGCCTCAAGGGCCCCAGAGAGCTTCTACCGGCATCGACACGCTTCTACAATCATAGGAACCCTTAGGGGAGTAGGGCGGAAGGGGGGAGGGGGGTAGGGGTAGGGGACGATACTTCCTATTAGGTCCTTATTATGGGCGTGGAGCCCCTCCCCCCCCCCCCCCCCCCCTTTCTAAGGGTCCTTATGATATAAGGCAAAGGAAAAGGGCTTTGTAAGGTGGGTGGGTCTCGGACCGAACCCACAAAGCCACGACGAACTTAAGCCGGGCAGTTCCCAGGACCCATCGGTGGCGAAAGTGAAGTCAGAGGAGACGCTGAAGCCGGTTTTGGGTTTAGCTACTGCTACTAGCGCTATTGCTGTGCCGACGACGACGACGACCGCTGTCCCCAATTGCGACGAGAACAGCTTTGGTTGCTTTTGCGAACTTGCGCCGGTTTATACGCCGTTGCAATCTCCACTTTGCCGACTTATTTGGCTGATGACGGCCTTGTTCGGCTTGCTAACAGGCCTGAAAGAACTCTGTAGACTGCCTCTAAAACCTTACAAACCATAGAGATCCGTACAGAACCCCCATGTGATCCCTGTTCGGAAGGACATGAAACTGCAGAGCAAACTGCGCTGATGGAGCCAGGCCGCTTGAGTTCATTGTCACAGGTCAGTGCACTCCGTGAAAAATTTTGGGGTTCAGGGTTTTCCAGGGAGTATGCTTGAAAAAGCCGCAGGAAACCGTAAGCGACCCACATGGGTTTCTCTCTTGACAAACCCGAAGGTTGTGGTCAGGAAAGAGCCATGAATCCCAAACTGTAAACCCCGACACTAAACCCTAAACCCTAAACCCGACAACCTCTCATGAGTTTCGTCTTCCTGCTGTGCTTCAGCTCACGAGTTCGGGAGTTCGGCGGGTTTGCGTTTCGCCGGGCTTCACGAGAGCTTTGGGTAGGGTGACTGCAGGGTTCGTCTTTTAGTGTTCTACAGGGTTTTTGTGAAATTGAACTTCAACCTGACATTTGGGTACGTTGTGTGGCCTTTGGTGTGTATACTGTTATAATGATACGGGGCTGCTATGGACTGATAAGTATAGTGGTTTTGTGGCGCAGGTGCGAAGCCCAAAAGCCCGAAAGCTTAGAGGTTCTCAGAGCCACGCAGTTAGGTCCATGAAAATAACTTTTATGGTCAGTCTTCTTCATTTGTTGATATGTTCTTGTTTCGTGGCGTCATCTCCACGCCATCCTTTCTAATATCGCGTTTTCTTCTTCATTGTGACATCTTGAAAAACTGACTAGAGCCTAAGGAAATCGTCATTTTCATCATTTGGTTATCAGTCTTTCATCATTTGGCGGGAAATAAAAGGGCCGGGGAATGGGCTTGGGCCTAAACCCTTAACCCCTGGCCCTGCGGCCTTGCATAAAACCCTACAGAACCCTGACAACGCCCCGAAACGTCATCTTGACTTCAAGAGCCTACTAGAACCTCTATGAACGCCTGAAAGCACAATCACAGGCCGCCTACATGATGTCCTCCGGTGAAATTTGTCGAAGCAGGGCACCTTTCTTCCACGATGCGTGGGTTTCTAAGACCATGTTTCTGGATTAGTATACTATTAGTCTTATTCGTCTGCGTTTAGAATTATTTCTATTGTATTCGGACCCCGCAAAAAGGGACTTCGACTGCTGTGAACTCCCCAGTATAGCTCCAGTATAGAGTGAGCACCCGACAAAATCTAAACCCTGAACCCTCAAAACCCTAAACCTTCCCTCATCCCGAAGCCCTATATAATCCCTTACCGCTGAGCACCTGGCAACCTGAGCCTACTTGGAGGATCATGGGACTTAGTAAGTAAGGTTATAAGTACCTTAATTGGGGTATAAATATAGTTGCCCTAATTACAATCCTAGTTACTAAGTCCCATGATCCTTTGAGTAGCTGGCTTTTGCAAAGGGGCCCTGGCTTTGGCATCAGCCCCCGTCTAAATCTTGCTCTCCTTTGCTGTAGGGGCCCGGAAAGGCAAAACTGTTCATGATATTCATTCTAGTAGTAGCAATAGCAGTAGCAGTAGCAGTAGCAGTAGTAGTAGTATCAGTAGTAGTAGTAGTAGTAGTAGTAGTAGTAGTAGTAGTAGTAGTAGTAGTAGTAGTAGTAGTAGTAGTAGTAGTAGTAGTAGTAGTAGAAAAAGTAGTAGTAGTAGTAGTAGTAGTAGTAGTGGTGGTAGTAGTAGTAGTAGTAGTAGTAGTAGTAGTAGTTTAGTAGTAGTAGTAGTAGTAGTAGTAGTAGTAGTAGTAGTAGTAGTAGTAGTAGTAGTGGTTGTAGTAGTAGTAGTAGTAGTACTAGTGTAGTAGTAGTAGTAGTAGTAGTAGTAGTAGTAGTAGTAGTAGTAGTAGTAGTAGTACTAGTAGTAGTAGTAGTAGTAGTAGTAGTAGTAGTAGTAGTAGTAGTAGTAGTAGTAGTAGTAGTAGTAGTAGTAGTAGTAGTAGTGACTTCAATCATATAGTAGTGGCAATAGTAATGGTATCAGTAATGCAATCGTCACAGTAGTCGTAGTCGTAATCCTGATGGCAATCCTGGCGGGACGACGAACAGCGCCTCAAATAGGTGCGGCACGTTGACGGTGGCCGGAGCACGATTGCCAGCTTCTGAAAACTCCGCGACACATTGCATCTTTGGACTAACTGGCGCCGAGGAGGCCAACAGCGCGGCCTAGCCAGAACCTTGCATCGCGTTTTCCAGCGTGTTGAAGGCCAAAATGAGCAACGCACTACGGACAGACTACGGCGACCACGGTTTCCACCCCAAAACACACGACAATGTGCACTGTGCACGGCACCGTCGGGGGAGCTTGGTTCAAGGTCTGCAGAGCGAAAGTGCCGGTTGATAGTGAAGAATGCTCTCTCGGCGAATGTGTTCGGAAAGACCGTGTGTTTAGTCGACACTGTGCACCGAGTCACAGAAAGAGTCGTGGGACCGCCCCTAAATCCTAAACCGGCACTGGCCGCTGACCGTCGATCGCTCTAGTTACTCCTAGTGCAAGCGCCGCATAGTCTTACGACACTGCTCCAGGAGTAAACTGAGTAAACATACAGTACCCAAGCCTAGGCCATTCTGAGTAATTATATTGCCTGCGAAAGTTGATGTGTAGTAGGTGCTTCTCCGGGCACCTATTTTTGCTGCAAATTCGCAGGATACCCCCTCCTGCGCCTATACAGCGAGAACTTTTTGCAGGGGCGAGTATTCCCAATGGCACGCAAGCCACTGCAAACAACAGCTCCCTTTAGCGAACCACCAACCTGAAGACTAAAACCGACGCAGAAAGAGCAAGCCGCCCCAACCCCTAAGCCTACGTCCTTATAACCCTGAAAAAGCCTAAGAGCTTTAAGGTGTATTCAGCATCTTATGCTTTACGCTCGGTACCCGGCCTGAAAATGGCGCCTTCAATCCAGTAACCCGTGCAACTCCGAGTCCGATGCACAAAGTTTAGGGTGCAGGGTCTAGGGTTTCTGGGTTCAAGTTTTGAGAGGGTTTAGAGTGAGGGTCAGGGTTTGGAGTTGAGGATTTCGGGCCTGAAAGAGAAGCTCTTATGTTGCTGCCCATGGGTTTGGGGTTTAGGGTTTAGGGGTTCTCATTTTTGGTCGGGTGATCTACCCGAACCCTTGCATGATCTTACATGTATGCAGTTCTTTCCATCCCTACCTTTACACTATGTGGAAAAAGATCCTTACGCTGCTGTCCTTTACGCGCATTGGAGAGTGTATCTGGAGAGTGTATCAAGGACTCGGCAAGTAATGTTAACAGTACCTTATTTAGGGCTCTGAGCAATACTTTTGTTGCCGCAGTTATGGCCCTGCTACCACAAACCCGAACCATGAAACCAATATCCTAATGCCTATACCTTACTTTCTGCTGGATCAGTCCCATCATCCTTCAAGTGATGTACACGTCGGACTAAGGTTGTAAAACCCGCTTACGTGAGTGTTGAAGTAGCCAGCCCGGGATGTTTAAGTTGAGGCCCTAAACCCCTAAACCGTAAACCCCTAAACCCCTCTACCCCTAAACCCTACAAACCCTAAACCTTTAGGTTTCCTACAAACCGGGGGAGCCCGCGACCACCCTTCAACTTCGGACTTCTTTCCGATGACGCCCTAAAGTTAGGGACCCAGAAAGCCCATAGGCATAAGCATTTTATGGAGATATCCTCACCTTATTGGGCTTCATTATTTAAGGGGTTTATATGGGATATCACTATCCTAATTTTTGCTTATGTGCCTTTTGGAGGCCCTATAAAGGGCCCTAATGCCTTGAAGCTGCCGGGGCTAGGATGCGACCTCCGGAAAATGGGTAGTTGTCAAAGTTATGGCCCCTTTTTTGGGGTACCCTAAATATTAGGGTGCCGTATTAGAATAAGGACCCAAGAAGGGACCATAATTTTGACAACCACCCACTAGATAGCGTCAGAACATCTATATGAGGTTTTGCGCGGGCTTGCACTCTACGTGTTGAACTCTGCGCCCTGAGACCGTAACACACTGAGCCCGAAGTCCTTCGAAAAACCGGGGCACCCAGTTTTTGTAGACCTCGTTACGAAAATGGAGCTCCAAAATACGTAAACCCTAAACCCTGAAACCCTAAACCCTAAACCTAAACCCCAAAATACGTAAATTTTCCTCAGGGGCTTGTACCTGAGCTGCCTTTGGGGGCCTTGCCAGAGTCGGCCCAAAGTCGGCCCAAACGAGGCCAGCGGGAGATGCCTGGGGCCACCGGAGTCCCAAGTGGGAGCTTCCCTCCCTCCGGGGTACCTTAAAGGTTCCTTTTAAGGCTTAATCTAAAGGATACTATAAGGGTATTACTTAAAGGGCTCAAAAATAAGGGTTTAGAGTTTCCGAAAATTAGTGGTACCTTATTTTGGGGGCCTTATAATAAGGATCCTACTTTTTAGGGTACTATATTGGGGTCCCAAAATTTCGGAAACCCTTCCACTCCGAATCCTAGGAGGGCTCTTGAAGGGTTTTGTAAGTGGCTTTGCAAAGGGTTTAGGGTTTAGGGCAGTGTAGTGGTTTAGGGGTTTAGGAGTTTAGGGGTGTAAGGTTTAGGATAGGTTCTAGAAGGGCTCGACGTCAAGTAGTCTTGTACAGGATGGTGTAGGCTTGTAGGATTGTTGTAGGGTCTTTGCAGGTTTCACAAGAGGTCTATGGCGGGTTGCGTCAGGGCTTCATTAGGATTTATTTTGTTTCAGGGCTGGGGGCTGTAGGGTTTTAGCAGGTTTTAGGATGTGGATTTAGGGTTTAGGGTTTAGGGTTTAGGGTGTAAAAGCAGGTGTGACTCAAACCCTACACTCCTAAAGCTCCAGCTCCAAGACTCTCAAGCCTGAAACCCTAAAACCCTGTGCTAGTAACACCGATATGAACCTGTAAAGCAGCCCGTTTTAACCCGAAAACCCCTATACTAGTAACACCGGTATGAGCCGGTAATGTTTTAAGGTTGTATTCTTACTTGAAAAGGGCCCGAAACCCTAAAGCCCCATACTAGTAAGGCCGGTCTGAAGCTGTAGTGTGAAAAACCCTAAACCCCTCTTCCCTAAACCCTAAAACCGTAAACCCCTAAACCCTAAACCCCTAAACCCCTAAACCCTAAACCCTAAACCCTAAAAGACCACGGCACCCTTGGGGGATCCTCCTGAGAGTCCCGGCAAAGCCGGGCCTCCAAAGTCATCTCCGGGTTTGGAAACCTCGGCTCGAAAGACCAAACAAGTCTTGAGCCGCAGGAGGAAAATCTTGACCTGGGGGGTTTAGGGTTTAGGGTTTAGGGTTTAGGGGTTTAGGGGTTTAGGGTTTAGGGGTTTAGGGGTTTAGGGTTTAGGGTTTAGGGGTTTAGGGGTTTAGGGTTTAGGGAAGAGGGGTTTAGGGTTTAGGGACCTGGGGTTGAGGGGGGGGGGCCTTGGGGGTTCGGGGTTGGGGCCTTGGGGGTTCAGGGTTTACTGGTTTGGGGTTTGGGGGTTCAGGGATTGGTTTGGGGTGTTCAGGGTTTCGGGTTTTAAGGCCTTGGGGTTGAGGGTTTGAACGACAACAGACCTTCGATATGGGAGTTTCCGAAAATTAGGGGGTACCTTATTTGGGGGTCCTTATAATAAGGAGCCTACTATTTAGGGACTATTATTGAGGTCCCCCATTATTTTCGGAAACTCCCATATGTGATCTGTACAGTGCCTTAAACGACACGACATGGCTTCTGCAGAGCGAAAGTAGCTCACTCAGCAAGCTCATCCGAAATCAAGTTGCTGCGATGTGACCACTATCGAAGCTAGTTGCCTAGCAGCCGCTAGCTGCTTCTGGTAGTCGGAGAACATTGAGCATCAGGCAGGGCTCCCACAAAGTAAGGTATACAAACCCTCAGAACCCCAAACTAACTAATCAGGCTGCTGTTATTGAAAGAAACCCGCACCTCACATAGCCCTCTTTCGCAGGAAGGGCAGGCGAACCTCCGCGAAGCTGCGGAGGGACGTCGGTCACTGGTGGACTCATTCCCTCCCCTCGCAGGAGCACCATTCGAAACCTGGGTGTTCCGGAGTTAGAAATAGTTCCAATTTAACTGTCGCCGTCTGAGAACCCCTCTCAGCTGAATGTCCTTATCTTCCACCAGCATGCCAAAGAGTGATGCTTGCGCAAAGTAAGCTGCAAGGAAGTTCCATTGATGCCTCGAAACATCTTATATAACCCAAAGCGGGGCTTGAGCTCCGGAACCATGGACTAGAAATTGAGCCTTAGCTTAGATTGTGGATTGAACGCCCTCTAGCCTAAACAATAAGCTGCTGATTTTTAGAAAATCGTAAAAGGACTTCAAAACCATCTACAACCCTAAACCCTGAACCTTAGCCCCTAAACCCTAAACCCTAGGCTTTCAAGCCCGACAAAGAGAATCGAACAGCCAACCTGGAACCTGCAACCCCCAACCCCTGAATCGAATTAACCTACTTGGAGGATCATGGGGCTTAGTAAGTGAGGTTATAAGTACCTTAATTGGGGTTATAGGTATAGTTACCCTAATTATAAGCCTAGTTATTAAGTCCCATGATCCTTTAAGTAGGGACCCCAGCTAAGAGAGTCTCGGCCCCGGCAAAAGCTCCTTCGTTTGGTGTTTTTTTTGGAAATTTCTTGTAGTTTAGTCGCAATCGGAAAGTTTAACATTTTGTTTTTGTGGCTTACTGGGGGAGCAAGTGGTGGCTTAGGTACTGCTCCCATACAGTAAGAGTCTATACTAGGGCTACTATTAAGGTCCAAAAATCGATATTATGAATATTATTCAACTATTACTGAATATGGGGGCCGTACCCAAGTGGTGGCTTTTTGGGAGTCGCGATCCTGTCACTAGGAGCGATACAGAACATTGGCAGCAGCACGAACAGCCTTCTCGACAAGTACCACGAAGTGGCCGAGGAGTTCGTGAGGGGGAGCCTTTGGGGTTTAGGGTTAGGAATTACTTAAAGGATCATGGGACCTAGTAACTAGGGTAATAATTAGGGTACCTATACTTATAACCCCAATTAAGGTACTTAGAACCTTACTTACTAAGTCCCACGATCCTCCAAGTAGGGTTTAGGGGTTCAGAGGTCAAGCAGTGAACCCTAAAGCTCGACCCTGAACCTCAGTTTAGAAACGTACTTGCCTCACTAAAAAGTTTCCCTAAACCCTTCACCATAAACGCCAGAAAGTTTTCTTGAACCCCCTGTAAGAAGCCGACTTAAAGGAGCGGAAGAAGCTGCACAACCTCGTTCTGGAGCTGAAGGGAAACATCCGAGTCTTCGTGCGGGCCGGGCTCCGGGTTACTGGCTTAAGGCTTGTACTTAAAGGATCATGGGACTTAGTAACTAGGGTTATACTTAGGGTAACTATACTCATAACCCCAACTAAGGTACTTATAACCTTGCTTACTAAGTCCCATGATCCTCCAAGTAGGGTTTAGGGGTGATCCGGCACCCAAAAGGAACATACGCATAAGCAATTCCTGGGGGATATCTCTACCGCGTTGGGCCTCATTTTACGGGGGCTTATATGGGATATTCCTATCCTTATTTTTGCTTCTGTTTTTTTTTTGGGGGCCCTAGTTGAGGGTTTATGGCTTAGGGCTCAAGGCATTTAGGGGTGTAGATTGTCGGGGTTTTGGTTCGAGGGTTTAGGGGATTTAGAGGCTTAGAAATTTCGGGGCTTTGGGGATCCAGGTTGGGCCTTCTCTATGGCGGCTTCGGTTTTCTCATCATGAGAATTCTTCAGAGACATTTTGCGGTTCTTGTCCCTATATAGCTATAGTATGGCGGTGTAGCTGTTTTCCAAGTCTGGGACTGGTTACATCGCATATCTCCGAGCCCCGTAACAGAGCTTGCAGATTGGAATACAGCGGATCCAGGTGGATCCACTGCCGGCAGGTATTTGGGAGCTCGAATCTGCAACAGCTTTGGCACCGCCTGAAAGTTACCCTAGAAGGCCCCAAACAAAGGAGCCCTGTCCTAAAATGCACTTTTCTGTGTGTCAGCCCCTAGAAACGGCTGTGAGGTCCGGCCGATGAGCGAGAAGGAGAAAACTGCCGAGGTCGAAGGCAGGTGCGATTTAGGGCTCACAGGATTTAGGGTTTAGGGGTTTAGGGTTACAGGGTTTAGGGTTTCGGGGCAGGGCTCATTATACGGTTTCGTCGGGTTTAGGGGTTCGTGGTCTAGGGTTTCGAGTTTGGCCTCATGTTTTCTCGGTGTCTTCATGTATGTCTACAGTCGCAGTCGTTTCGGAAAGCAAGAGTAGGTGTGTATATACGTAAGCACAGCGCATAATCACAGACAGCAAGCGAAACTGGCAATTGTGATAGCATGAAGCCCTAAACCCTGAACCCAAAACCCAAAACCCTAAACCCTGAACCCAAACCCCAAAACCCTAAACCCTGAACCCCAAACCCCAAAACCCTAAACCCTGAACCCAAACCCCAAAACCCTAAACCCTGAACCCAAACCCCTAAACCCTAAACCCTGAACCCAAAACCCTAAACCCTAAACCCTGAACCCAAAACCCTAAACCCTAGGTTTTGTGCCCATACACAGACTCTAAACTCCTTAAGCCCGAGATCCGAGGCTCAAGAGCAGTAAACCCCAACTTTCCTCAACGCATGCTAGCAATAAGCATAAGTTCAAAAACATGACAACAAGAATCATGAGAACAACACGGTTAGTTGTAGTAGTGATAATAAGAATGAGAATGGTAAGCCTTATTGTTGCTTTGCAGTGGGCTTCGTGCTTCAGGGGTCTCGGGTCGGGTAGGGTGTGCGGCGTCAGGAACCCTGAACCCTGAACCTCAAAACTTCAAACCCTGAACCCCTAAACTTGGGGGTACTTAGATATAATTTTTTGGTTGTTATAATCCCTAAGAAACAGCTCAAATCATAGTATTTGCTAGGGTTCTAAGTTCAGTATAGTAAACGTGTTTTGGGATTTATGAGTTTGCGCAACTATCAGGGGAAGCGACGATCACCTTCGCGGAGGACAACAAGGTACCGTGATTTGAGAGCTGTGTTTTGCTTTTAGGATGTAGGATTTCAGGCTTCTAGGGTTCGGAATTTGTGGTGGAGGGTTTAGGGTTTTGGGAACAGTGTTTTCCTTGACGATTTTCAGAGGGTGTAGTTTTCTGTGTAGGGTCCTACCTGATACTTCAGGGTTGCACGTAGGGTTTACAGTCAGGCTTGCCCAATAGAGTTGCACAGAGCTCCTAGTACAATGCCGGGCAGTTGCAGTCCTTGACTGCAAGATTTTTTTTTCCTATCTCTCTCTCTCTCTCTCTCTCTCTCTCTCTCTCTCGCTTTGTTTAATATACCAGTTCGAAGAATTATCTCTATTCTTCCTTAGGGTTCCTGGTTACAGCTAGACAAAGATATTGTACCCCGGCATCTTTACGTTGAGACTTGCGTTTTATAGGGGCTTTCCGATGATGGGTGTAGGGGGTTATGCAAAACCCTGTGCCTAAAGCCTGGTTATCCTTTCGAACCTAGTTCCCGAAGTCTGGGTAATCAATAGAGGCATGACAAATTAGAAACCCTGAACCGATTGTCTCTTCTTGGGATTCTTCGTAGGGCTGCTTTGGGCCAGGGTGGTATAGGCTTTCCAGGACTCTGCTTTGGCCGTCAGCCAGGATGCAAAGGGTAAAAGTAGAATAGGTTAACCCTAAGGGTTTGCCGTTTAGGGTCTAAGGGTTTTGCGGGATATTGTAAAGTATTCTTATAATGAAGACCTTAGATGGTGAGAAAGAGACTGCGGAAGATATGAAGGTAAGTCGTTACCGTCGGCATGGCTAGCACGCAGCTGCGCATCCCTAATCAGGAATGATATAGTATGAGTTCTCAGATGCTAGCTGTTTAGGCCCATACGGAGGATTCTGTGGCTTAGGATGTGAGGGTCGGGTTTAGAGGCCATCAGCATTCTCATCGCTTCCGAAAGACCTTGAAGGACAGAAACTCGAGCGGAACACCGAAACCTGAAAACTAGACTGTGAAGATGAAACGTCAGATTTGGCAGTAGCTTGAGGGCATGGCATGTTATATAAGAGTGTACTAAAGTCTAAAAGGAGGGGGTCCCCTAATATGGACCCTTAGGCCCCTAGGTATATACCCATAATAAAGGGGTTTAGGGTTTAGGGTTTAGGATTTAGGGTTTAGGGTTTATAGTATACTAGCACAACAGGGCATTGCACACTCTGAAACACAGATGTCCATATGTGCGGGTTTGTAGCCGCTGCGTCGGTTCGCAGGGTTTACGGATTTGCGCTTTTGGGGTTCAGGGTGTCGGTTCTTGGGTTTAGGGTTCGAGGCCTATATAGGTTATGTACGTTGGACCTTTAGGGTCTATTTCAGGTTTTACCCTCCTTTCCTTGTTAAAACCCATAAAGCATCATCATCAACAACACCAAAAATAGCAGCAGGAAGAACAACAACAGTTACACATATAGCTAATAGTGGTTTACGGTGCAGGTTGTCAAGTTGTCAAGTTTCAGGGTTAAGGTTTTTTGCGGTCCCCAAGTTAAGACAGCGTGCATGGATGCTCAGGTGTCCGTCTACGACGCGAATCAGCAAAGACGCAAGTGGTTCGAGTTTGATCAGGCCTGCTTCATCATAACCATAGAAGTCTGGCGGGGTGCAAGTCCGTAGGTGCAAAAAACCCTTACCCTGAGTGTGAACCCCAATCCCGAAACCCTTAATTAGCCACAAAGCCCTACACCCAAAAATATGTATACTCAAACCTTAAAGCCCTTCCAATTTCCACGCTGGAGGAAATGGAGATCCGCAGAAAAGTTATGGCCCTAAACTCTACAGCCCTACACCTGTAAGCCTCTACACCCCTCGAGCTCTACTTAAAGGATCATAGGACTTAGTAACTAGGGTTATCATGAGGGTAGCTATACTTATAACCCCAATTATGGTACTTAGAACCTTACTTACTAAGTCTCATGTTCCTCCAAGTAGGATTCGACGAGTGCACAACATGAGAATTTTTTTTGGCTTAAGTTCGGTTGAGGGCTTCGCGCTAGGGGTCTGAATAACATTACAAGACAATTAGTAGACCCCGACTCCCACTGTAATCGCTCAGCCCTAGACCCTCACCTCTATACCCTAAGCCCTATACCTACCCTAAACCGCAGACCATCCATCCCGAGCTAAACGGCTCAAATCCTAAGCCTAGTCTCGGAGCCCAAACCTTCTTTGCCTAGCCCGACCAAAAGAACCCGGAACCTTTCCCCAAAGAGCCCGAGGCACTGCAGAATATCATGAACCTGGACTGTCAACTGCTACCCCTCAAACCTACAAAAACCTAGGCCACTTACGACGCCTTGAGCGAACCCTTATCTAAAACTAAAGCCTACAAAACGCGCCGCTTACAACGCCCCCATGGCGCCCCCTTTTTCGAGGCCTTCCAGCCCAAGAGCCTGCAGCAGGAGGTCTTTGAGGAGGTGCCCCCATCTTCAGGGTTCAGAGATTGAGGGTTTAGAGGTTTAGGGTTTAGGGGTTTAGGGGTTTAGGGTTTAGGGGTTTAGGGGTTTAGGGTTTAGGGGTTTAGGGGTTTAGGGGTTTAGGGTTTAGGGGTTTAGGGGTTTAGGGGTTTAGGGTTTAGGGTTTAGAGGCCTTCGGGTGTAGATTCGGCATGGGTTGTAGTTCTGTAAACTAGGGTCTCCTTTTAGGTCGGTACGTCACCTTTTAAAAGGACCCTATAAAATGATGCTTATAGAACTACCCCATGAAGTTGTACATAGTGTGAGTGATTGGGTGAGTGATCGAGCGGGCGAGCGAGTGTGTGAGTGCTATAGCAAACGTGGAAACAAGTTTATACACCTGTCTGTGTTTATACCCGTTATTCGATATGCACATCTAAATCTATAGCAATGGAAACGTAAATATTTCGCACGAGCATGAACATGAATATGTATGTAAGCACACATATATATATATATATATATATGTATATATATATATATATATATGTGTATGTATGTATATATATATATATATATGTATGCTTACGCCCCCCCCCATGATCCATACTATGCTTGCTTTCGGTAAGCAGTGGATCATGGGAGGTGGGCAGCTTCGGATGCTAAAACACTGCCAGGCTCGAAAATCCCCAAAATTCCTGAAGCCTGAAGTGCGAAAACACTGGCAGGGATCAAAAATCCCCAAAATCCCTAAAATCTGAGAGACTATGGCCCCGCACTCCGCATAGATGCCAGGATTTTGGGAATTTTGGGGATTTTTGATCCCTGCCAATGTTTTCGCATTTCAGGCTTTACAAATTTTGGGGATTTTCGAGCCTGGCGGCATTTCGTCAACGTCGGATGCTAAAACACTGCCAGGCTCGAAAATCCCCAAAATTCCTGAAGCCTGAAGTGCGAAAACACTGGCAGGGATCAAAAATCCCCAAAATCCCTAAAATCTGAAAGACTATGGCCCCGCACTCCGCATAGATGCCAGGATTTTGGGAATTTTGGGGATTTTTGATCCCTGCCGATGTTTTCGCATTTCAGGCTTTACAAATTTTGGGGATTTTCGAGCCTGGCGGCATTTCGTCAACGTCGGATGCTAAAACACTGCCAGGCTCGAAAATCCCCAAAGTTTTGCAAAACTGAACACCCATGGCCCCATGGATGCCAGGATTTTGGGAATTTTGGGGATTTTTGATCCCTGCCGATGTTTTCGCATTTCAGGCTTTACAAATTTTGGGGATTTTCGAGCCAGGCGGCATTTGCTAACCTTGGATGCTGTGTTCCTATTATGTCTTAGTTTGTCACGTGTATACACATGGCACTTGCTTTGTTTTCATGCCATGTCAAGGTGCGGTATGTTCCACGACATATCCGTTGCAGTTCTCTCCCGAGTGAAAGTCATCGTTTGTGTCCCTCCTTTTCTCTTTTCCAACATGATCCGCGACGGGGGTGACATATCCTTGCAAGATGCTCTCGATGCCACCAATTCCTTGAGATATTGTATCAAAGCACACCACACCCGACGACAATCTGTAAAGTAAAACATCTGCAGTAGACATACAACATATACTTTGACATGCCATGTACTGAGGAGGCATGCACCAGACGCGCGGCACATGAGTTACGTGATAGTTTTGTGGAAGTATCGATATCAGGATGAGTACTGTTCTTAATAATATTAGTACTAGTGTTTGCTGTAATAGTATACATGTCAGTATTAGCAAATATATATATATATAAGTGTCAGTGCTCATGCTCGTGTTAGAGTTAGCGCTAGTGCCAGTGTCAATGTCAGTAATACAGCACCACTGCTAGTATCAGTGTCAGTCTTAATGTTGGGTTTAACCGCAGCTTATATTCGCAGAAGTGCTAGTATTAGTATCAATACTAGAACTAGTTTTGATATGTTAGAATATTGATAGTTTCGTACAGTAGCAGACTAGCATATCAATATATTATTAATGCATTCGAACAGTAACATATTTGTATACTTGTATACTTGTATATTTGATATGTTAGCACAACTGGTGCACGGGTACACTAGTATATTGGTGTATTAGTTTACTAGTATGTGTGCTATATTCATGTACTGTCTAGTCATATTTACAAGTATATCAGTATGTTGGCATATTAGTCTACTAATTTGTCAGGTCGGTATACTTGCATGTTGCAGTAGTCGTATATTAGTATACTCGCATATTAGTATAGTATATTCATACATTAACGGGAAGTATATTATTACATTGGTATATGGGTATATGTTTATGCCAAAACATTAGTACATGAATGCACTAATGTATATATCTGTATCTTAAGATAGTGGTATGTATTTTTATGTACATTAGTATATGCAGGTGTCTATTGTAAAGAGATTAGTATTCATATCAATACGAATATACTATTGGTATTCGCAGGAGTATTGATGTTGATATTAGAATTAAGACTATTCATAGTCGTATTAGCCATAATATAAGTGTTCATGCTGGTAACAGTACTGGCATTCATGAATATTCAACAGATTATCAATATCCGTATCAGTGTTGGTGATAGCATTATTGTTAACACCACAAGAGTTTATGTATTCGTACTCGTAGGAGCATCAATACTATTGCAAACATTGATGTTAGTATAAATATTGTGATAAGTATTAGTAGTAGTATTAGCGTTAGTACTATAATATTATGAACACACTTGAAGTATGTGTCACGCTTTCCAGGCAATCAGGCAATGACCAGGAAGATTCGAAGTTGCCAGTTTGAGTATTGGCATCGGCACCAAAACATGTGGACAGTGACAGGCAACATGTTGACGTTTTTGCACAACCACCGGTGATGCCTCCTGAAACATGGAGTGCCAGGTTTTGGATGGAAGAGCGGAGCCCGAAAGCAAAATCAGAATCTGATTCGGGTTTCGTGAGGATATAACATGTGAGAACAAAGTATAAAATGTAGAGTTAAGTAGATGTTAGGTGCAGAAAATACCGCAAATACCAATGATTTTGTATGTAGGTGAAGTCATGTAGAAATCGAAGCATGAGCAGCAGCAGGTAGAACAAAGCATGGTATGGATCATGGGGGGGGTGTGACCATATGTATATATATATATATATATGTATGTATGTATGTATGTATGTATGTATGTATGTATGTATGTGTATATACCTATGTGTATACGTACACACACACACACACATTCACATACAACGAAACATAGATAGACGAGAAGGACTTCGACATTCGTAGGGGCGTTCGGGACAGACTTCGGGTTCGAAAGGTCTGAAGTTGATGTGCTTCCAGATTTAGGGATTAAGGCTGAGGGCATAGATCCAAAGGAGAGCTGTTTAGGGTTTAGGGGTTTAGGTTTTAGGGTTAGGGCCCCATATTCAACAGCATGAGACCCGAGGGGTGGATATGGGGCGCACCGCACAGGTCAAACCTTTGGCCACATCTGTGCTGGATGGCTACAATGCTGCAGTCTCAGAAGGTTTGCGGGTTAGGGTTGAGGGCTTACGGTCAGGTTTGAGGGGTTGCTGCAACGCTGCAGTCTCAGAAGGTTTGTGTTATGAGCGGACCGATGCTTCAGGGTGTAGCTCGCTGTGACAACATCTACTTAAAGGATCATGGGACTTAGTAACTAGGGTTATAATTAGGGTATCTATACTTATAACCCCAATTAAGGTACTTATAACCTTACTAAGTCCCATGATCCTCCTTCTACTTTCCGACCTCTCGCCTCAGGGCCCCCAAGGCGGTCGGCTGCAGAGGCTTCGCCTACCGATCGTTGCGGTTTTAGAATTCATCATGAGGGTCCCATGGGCAAATTTCATAGAACATCCGTACCTCTGGTTAGTAGGGAATGGAGGAATGGGGTACAAATATAACTATTATTACTACCATTTTTCCATTACTAACCAAAGGTGAGCATCAGGCCCAACGGTTCGCGCATGAACAGCTCGAAACTTCGCAACGATGCTGAGCCCCCAGTTTAGGGTTTAGGGTTTAGGGGTGGCACTTGGTTATAAGAAGGGCAGCACAACCTTTCAGCGCCAAGAAGCAAACGACTTCGCCCCGAACCTTTAGGGTCCATTTAGGGGTCAGGATTTCCAAAAACAAGAACCATAATACTACTACTAAAATACTGATCATAACAGTAGTCATACTAATAGCAGGATGTAGTGTTATGGGTTTAGGTCCTAAACCTGAACCCCCGATCTCCAAACATCAAGCAGTGAGCACGGAGCACAAAGCCTTAAATCTGCAGCCCTGGATTGCAGTCATGCTAAGCCGAATCCCGAAACCGTCGAAAGTCCACCTCAGACGGTAGATTAAACCTCAAAGAACCCTTATGGTATCCTTGTCGTACCCTATCTAAAGTATCCTTTCAGTATCCTTATAGCACACTTATCGTACCCCGGAGCACCCCTATAGTATCCTTATAGTACGCCTACAGTACTCTCATGGTATCCTCATTGTACCCCAGCTCAAACTTGAACCTTCCACTCGTAGCCCCCCGCCCCCCCAGGTCTGTATCTTCGCTTATGGCCAAACCGGCTCGGGCAAGACCTTCACCATGACGGGCAATCCGGAGAATCCAGGCCACTGGCGTCTTCATCTGGGCTAATTGTTGGCTTTTAGGCTTTAACATCGGGGTTGGAATAGTCAGTTCTCGTATCTGCTCAATACAGTCGCAGTCATAGTGTTGCACTGACTATACAGTACTTGGAAGTTCATGGGTAGTAAAAAGTGGGGTTGTAAGTAGGGTAACCATAACTATGACCCATATTAGGGGACTTATAACCCCACTTATAACTACCCATGAACCTCCAAGTAGTATAAGGCTAAACCCTATTCTGGTGCAGCCAGTCTCGAGAGCTCTAGACAGATCTGTCAAGTTACCTTCTTTGAGGGATCCGTTTCAGATGACTACAGCTACAGTTTAGGGCGGCTCGGAGAATCCAGGCCAACATCCAGGGTTCTTGTCGGTTTTAAAGTCTTTGCTGCAGGATTTGATTTGAGGGTCGTGGGTTTGTGACGGCTTTGGCTGTAGAGTTGAGGGTTTTCTTGGGGTTGAAGGCTTCTTGCAGTTTGGGGTTTAGCAGCTTGGCGTTTCTTGGGGGTTGGGGTTTTGCCCTATGGTTTGTTGAGGTTTGCAGTTTGGGGTTGAGGTCTGACGTTTGCTAAGGCTTGGGTGCGCTGCGGTGTCTAGCTGACACTTGCTGGTGAGGTGTTCGGTTTAGAAGGGAGGAGTCCATTGCCGAGGCCGAAACCGACATCCCCAAACCCCAAAAGCAACCCCCTACCGCCCAATGGGTGGTTGTCAAAATCAGGGTCCTTTTTGGGTACCCTAAATACTGTATTATAACAGGGACCCAAAAAGGACCATGATTTTGACAACCGCCCCAATGTAGTTTTTTTCAAAATCCCGAAACCCTGGAACCTGGCATCGGACAGGGACCCGTGGACCCCCAATTGCAGCATCCAGTCGACTTCACAGCCGCACCAGGGACATCCTGACTAGGATGCCCAGTAGTACCCTTATTCCCTTTTTGTAGTCCTAGGTTCCTTATAAAGTTACCCAATACCAAAAAGAGAGGCCTGTTTATTCTTAGGTTACTGGGTATCCTAGGGTTTACTCTTCAGGGGTTTGTAGGGGTTTAGGGGCAGTCCCCGCAAAAACGCAGAAGCCCAAAACCCTGACCCTAAGCCTCAGAACGCTGTCTATGAGACCCTATCGATCCCTGCTAAAACTATTTCGAAACTCTAATGCAGGAAAGTCCTCATGCCAAAAGCCTAAACCCTGCAACCTGAATCCCTACAAGCCCAAATCGAACCCTTAAAGACCTTAAGCCCTACAGCCCTATAAACCCTGTAAGAGTACGACTCCAAATCCTGCAGAGTGTTCTTCATTGTCTGCTTTTTTTCCGGTCTCAGAGGCCTGAACACCCGGGTGCTCAAGGACCGCCGCGGAAGACCTCAACTCATGGGTTCCTCTTCGGATTCTCCAGTAAAGAGTTGAGGGTTCTAGCCTTTAGGATTCTCCAGGTGTTCCGTACGGGTTCTAGGATTCAGAGGTTAGGGGTGGGGTTTGGGGCACTCGCTCGGAGGGTCAGGCGACTTAGGCTCCCAGAGGATTCAAAGTGTTCCTGAGGAGTTTTGAGGTTGTTTTTTACGATCATGTAGCTAGTCCCTAAACCCTAAACCGTGTTTGAAAGCGCCTCCTTTGGGGCTGTACGTAGGTCGACTCAACTCTAGCTGAGCTGCCTTTCCGGATTTCTGATCCTTGCGGTAAACCTAGAACCTTAACCCAAATCCAGAAAGACCCCGCCCCACGGAAAGTGTACAGATCTCTTAGAGACCATGTTACCGGGTGCTTGAGGGTTTGTAGGAAATCCCCAACTACATATGGAAGGGTTCAACGATCTGAGGGCTTTAGGGTTACACAAGGGGCTGATAAAGGCGCCGGTTCTACAGGGGTTCGAGGGCTGTCAAAACCTCAAGCACCAGATGAAGCCTAGAATCCTTATCTCTATACCCTATAAAATACTCATCAACCCTACACCCTAAACCCCCTATACCCTAAACCCAAAACCCTGTAGGTCCCTTAAAGACCCTCCCCCTTGCAGTACCCTTCAAAGGACCTTCGATCAAAACCCCACTCGACCGTCTTAGCTCAGAACCTTGGAAGGAGCTCTTCCGGATCCGCGAGCAGCGGAAGGAGGCCGAAGCTTTCAGCTTCGGTTCAGTGCCTTAGGCTCCCTTAAGTGTTTTTTTAGGGACTCCTTTAGGGGCTCCTTTAAGGCTTTAAGGGTTCCCTTCTTTCATGGTTTTCCTTCCGGGTTTCGCAAGCATGCTATGGGGGCTCTATAAGGGTTTTGGGGTCAAGTGCTTCAGAGTTATAGGGCCTGGGTTTCTGCAACTGTGAGTTTGAGCGTCGCGCATGTTTTCAGCTCAGATGTCTAAGCTCACTGAGCTGTGCCGTCTTTTACTGGAGCTTATAAGCATTCGATCTCAGCCTCTCCGTGAGCTGCTTTCCGGTCCAGGGCTATCGCGTTTGAGAGCCTCAACCCCTCTTCGCAGCAAGCCTCAAAACCCCAGGTTCGAAACTCTAAGACTGATGTGGGAGTCTCCGGGACGCTACTATAGCATTTCAACAGTAAGATTCTTAGATAAGGACCCCCATATTTTCCCCTAAGTTTCGGAAACTCTCATGCTGCGACCGTGAACGCCCTACGTGCCCTCAGCCATAGCGCCTTGAACCCCCAGAGCCCGAGCCGGAAGCTGTTGAGCCCGTCGGTCCAGTTGTTGACCGAGCTACAGTACTACTATTTGCTTAAGAACCACCAAAAAATAAAAAAATGTATATTCCTTATAGGGATAATATAGGGATTATCAATTTTTATTTTTTGGGGGGTTCTTAAGCAAATAGTAGAGTAGAAGCCAGAAAGTTGGAATATCATTATCGTAACCCCTTTTAAGGTAAATTATAGGGGATCCTGCCATTAATCCATATTGCATCTTTCTGGAGTTCCCTTTATTTTCTTGTAGAATCAGCAGAACGGCTCTTGGATAGTCTTGGTTCTTGTAGTTCTTTCCGTTCTTGGATTTGGTTTGTTCAGGCGGGATCTCCAAAGCACACATGCTTTGCGTACTTTCTACGGGTGTAGACTCATGGGTAGTCAAATGTGTGAGAAGCATTCTAATCGGATTATATGAAACTGTTAACTCTGGACGTGAAAAACCGTCAAGCTAAGCTCTAAGCCCTACTTACGTAGTCCAGCGGTCCTCCTTGCAGGAAATTGACATCAGCATCTCGCTGTCTGCTGGGCGCCAAGTGCAAGAAATGATAGGGTTACAGGAATTTAGGGTTTAAGGCTTTTGCTTTGGGTTTCTTTCAGGCTTTGGCGTTTTTTTGGTATTTCAGGTTAGGTCATGTTTTTTGGTGGGTTGAAGGGTCAATACAGACGTTCGGAAGATGATGGCAATAATTGATATCGTTATTCTCTGAAGGCCTTGCATAATAAAATGATCGAAACTTTTGTTCAAGTTCTGTGGGATCTTTCGGGAGCAAATCAGGCACGGTGGTTCTCTGCAGTAGCACTTCTCCCAGATCCTTCCTCACATAAACTGGGACCTTGAAGCCTTAACGTGGGGGCCTCAATACTTACCAATACACTTTATTCTGGGGGTTCCTTACCTTGTTATAAATATGGTTTAATGGACCCCAAAACCGGATGCTCTTGCAGCCGTCACGGGGGCGGGGTTTAGGCCATTTTATTCGCTCCAGGTGCCCCAGAGTGCCTTGACGCCCCTTCAATTTTGCGTGGCTTCCTCACTTAAAAACCGATAGCAGGAAGAAAGGTGCTTGTCTTCTGGTGAATTTTGCGCTGCAGCTGCAGCCAGAACCCTCACGCCAAGCCCCACTCTCCGACAGAGGAGGATTTCCTGAAGGTTGGGGTTGAGGGGTTTAGGGGCCTGGGGCTCAGGCGTCTCAGGGTTTCGGGTTTGGGGTTTAGGGGTTAAGGGAAGCCTCTGAAATCCTTGGCAAACGATTTAGCCTCTACAGAGCGTCCAGCTTCAGGTGTAGCCTTAGCAGATTTGCGGGTTTCGTGCTCGAAACGCCGTCGAGCTGAACCCTATGCCTAAAGCCGCAAACTCACAAGAAACCCGAAGCCTGAATTCTGGACGGCTGAGGTGACTGAGATCTACAACGAGCAGATCAAGGCTGCCTTACGGGAGTCTACCGGTAAGCTAACTTCTGAAAGCGCTTCGAGTGGGGGGGGGTGTGGCCTCGATTCCTGGCTGAAGGGTCGGGGAGAAGAAGGGTTTAGTTGGGTGCAGGGCTTAGGGTTTAGGGTAGGAGGAGACGGAGAAGGGAAACCAGTGCCGAATTCGTCCCACCAGTGTGCCTATGAACGGCTGCTCATCCTTGGAGCATCCTCGCCATCCCTCTAGTTCTTTGTTGATAGTTCGAGTCGAGTCTGGTCGACTCTGTCTGCAGTTGGGCTTAAGGATGCGATCCGAAGCTTCGATAGCTCAAACTCCAATCCGAAAGCCCGGAACCCCCCCCCGCTTGCCTCACCGAGCCCTGCCTAACTCCAAGACACGAAGCTGTAAACTTCCTAGAAGATGCATTCTCCGTGTGGTTCTTAGTAGGGAATGGGGAATGGACTATGAAGAGTACTATTATAGCCTATAATTTATAGGCATCCATTCCCCCATTCCCTACTAAGCGCCAGACACTTCTTCACCCAGAAACCCACGGGCCACTCCCAACATTTGGTTTTGGGGCTTGGGGACTTGGGGATTTGGCTCTTCTTGAATGTCGGGATTGAGGCTCAAAACTCTTGGCAGGAGTTTCGAATCTCTCCATCTCTATATATCTATATACATATATTTGCGCATGTCTTTCAGTCTCCATACAAACGTATGACAATATCAACCAAAGGCAACTTTAAATCCTGCTTGGCCCTTATACCAAACCCTTATATGATAATTTCAAAGTAGTCTTGTTCAGGTCCGAAGAAGATAGGAGAGCTTAGGGCTTTGGGGTCCCCAGCCCTGTTTGGAGGATCTCTTCAATCCAGACAGTGCAAAGAAGAAGCTGGATGCCCCTCAGCTGAGACGTGCGGGTTTGGGGTTTTAGGGTTTGAGAGTTTAGGGTTTAGGGTTCGTGGAGGCCGGGCGGTTGAGGACTTCGAAACAACAGGACTCTACAGGTTTTGGTTCTGCCCCGTGAGGCTCGGGGGTGCGTGTGCTTTGCTGCGACCTCGGAGACCACCCCTGCTGCTGCTGCTGCTGCTGCTGCTGCTTCTGATTCTTTGGTTTAGGGCTTAGGGTTTAGGGTTTAGGGTGCTGTTTACATCCGGGTCCAGCCTGAGCCACCTCTCGACTACAACATCTCGTTGCGCTCACTGTAAAGCTATGCATCGCCCACCGCCTTGCTACTGCTACGGTTGATGATATAAATCCTGCATTACCCATAATAAGAAATATACCATAATTTTCATAGTTTAGGGTCCTTAAGGTAATGCAGGACTTATATCATCAACAGTACTGCTCCTGCTTCTGCGTGTGCTGCTGCTACGACGACGACGACGACCACCACTGCCCCTGCCACGACGACTACCACTACCACTACCTCCGACTTCGGGACATCCTGTCCGGCCCCGTTGGCCTTGTCGCTAAGCCCTAAACCCCAAAGTCCCCCTTAAGCCCGAATCTCCAAACCCTGAGGCCTTAGACCCGAAACCGCTATCCCTGAATTCTGCTTAGGCAAGAAGTCACTTCGAAGCCAACATCCCTAAGTCTAAACCGCTATTGTAAGGTCAAGCAGAACCCCGATGGCACGAATACCGTGTGTGGCACCCAGCACGGCGCGGGTATTCGTAGCAAAGGCTCCAAGACGCTTTCTATCTAGGGTTAAGGGCTCCTATCAGGGTTCTCAGGGCTACTATAAGGATGACTAGGGATTTTAGGGTTTACGGGTCCGTTGGGGGAATGGATTCGTGAGTTTAGGGAATCGGGGTTTGGGGTTTAAATGGCTAGCTCTCCAAGTTAAGCTCCTCTTTGGATCAAAGAGTGAGAAACATCCCAAAACCTGAATCACTATACAACCTGCATAAAGGCTATGAGGCCCCTGTGAGACCTCCAACAACCATCGGCCAACTTACCCCCCACCCCCACCCTGAGATTTTAAAAGGTCGCCCAAGTGACTGGGTAATGGGTAGATCTTTCATTGAGGAACCTTTGAATTCGCAGCGGTTTTATTGTACAAATTATAGCGACGTCACGCGACGTCACCCTGAAAATCTCCAAAATTAGCGACCGCAGTCTGCCCAAATTAAGCGGAATTAGCGACCCAGCCCTCTGACCCATTGGCCGAGACAGGCAGGATTTCTGCTGGTTGGCACAAAACAACGATATCGCTCGATTTCTGCTGCGATTTCTGCTTGTCGGCTTGGAGACCAGGTAAAAAAGCATTAAAACATCACTATTTGGCTCAGGACGGCTCGCTTTCCGCTTTTTGGCTTAAGTGGGATCCCACAAAAAGCACTATCTGGCCCAGATAGGTTTTCTGCTTTTTAGCTTGTGGGACACCAACAAAGCACTATCTGGCCCAGATAGGCTCGTTTTACGCTTTTTGGCCTGTGCTACTACAACAACAACTACTACTACTACTACTACTACTACTACTACTACTGCTACTGCTACTGCTACTGCTACTGCTACTGCGACTGCTACGATAACAGCAACTACTACTCTACCACCACTACTCCTACTACTACGACGACTACTTCTGCTGCTACTACTCCAACTACTATTCCTACTGTTACGACTACGACGACTACTACTGCTGCTACTACTTCTACTACTTCCACGACGACGACAACTACCGCCACTACGACTACGACACTACTACTGCTACTACGACGACGACGACGACTACAACTACTACTATTACTACTAGTAGTACCACTACTGCTGCTGCTACGACCACAACTACTGCTACTACTACTAGTACAACGACTGCTATTACTTTTACTCTCTCTACCACGACGCCTTACCACTCTTGCTACTACTCTTGGCCACACAGCCCTAAGCCCGCTAATTTCGGGTGTGAAACCAAATAGCGACCGCTACGGAAATTATCCGAGACGTCACCGGCCTAATTTCGAATTGAAATTATTATAAATATTGTAATTTGTGCAGTTTTAAGATATTTACGGTTTTAATAAGATTTCGCTTATTGAGGAACTGTGATTACAAATACGGTTTTTAATAAAGTTCTTTAGTTTTTAAAACAGGTTCGCTCAACAAAAATCCTGGCTCGATCAGGGGAGTCGAGAATTGTTTACACAACCTCTTTAAACTGCTTTTGCCGGGGTTAGGGGTTGATAATTCGCTGGCAAAACAAAGCTTTAAACAAAAGCATATGAAACTCTGATCTAGTTTGCAGAGCCCCCCAACCCCAAAGCCCTTAACCCCCCAATGCTAAGCCCTAAACCCTAAACCTCGAAAAACGACCAGAACGGACCCTAAATCCTTTGCCCTAAACCCTAAAACCCTAAACCCTAAACCCTAAACCCTAAACCCTAAGGCCCTAAACCACCTCCGAAGACTGAGGCCAGGGTTGACGGAGCGGCCGGTAAGTAGCGTCGAGGAGGTCCTGCAGTTCATGGCGGAGGCGGAGTGGCGGGTGTAATTTCCTGCTTTGCAGTACAAGATGTCATCGGTATATAGGGATTTTTTTGGGATTTATGTGGGGTTTTGCAGGTTTTGGTACGGGGTTTAAGGTGGGTAAAGGGTGTGAGACTCGTGTTTGCAGTTGCAGAGGGGCCCATATGTGATATTTATGTTAGCATTATTGCATTGTTTATTCTCCGGTGTGCTACGATTATCGCCCAGCAACACCCCAAGCCTTACCGCTGGTTAGTAGGGAATGGAGGAATGGGGTACAATTATAACTACTATTACTAGCATTCTTCCATTCCCTACTAACCAACGGCAAGAAGCTGCAGCGGACGATCTCCGGCATCTATACCCACCACGACCCGGGGAGTCAGGCAGGCAGCATTCTCACCAGAGCGCGCGCGGGCTGGCCGCAGACAAGTTCAACAACCCCCCGTCACGGGACGAGTCGCCCAACGAACGAAGCCTGAGTCCATCTTGCAAGCAAGCTGCTTGGCCGATCTTCAACCCTAGGACCCCCCCCTGCTGCCACGGGCGGTACTGTTCCATTGCAGAATGTGCTACTTGTTCGGTTACTTGTGGCGGGTATCGAGATTATATGCGTCTATTTATCTTCAAGTCGTGAGACCCAAACGATTGGCCTCACTTGTAAAGTTGCAAACGCTGAACCTTAAACCGCACGCCCTCAAACCCTACACCCTAGAAACCGTCTAAGTTTAACAAAAAACACTTTTCCCACCGAAATCCTAGAAACCCTATTGAACCCATATTCCCGAGCAAATGACCCGGCAGTGATTTTTGCCTAGCTCTCCTGCTGGGAGGTTCATGGATAGTTATACATGGGGCTATAAAGTAGAGTCACCATCAATTCTAACCCACATTAGGGGACCTATACCCCCATTTAAAACTGCCCATGAACCTCCAAGTGCTGCAAGCGCAGCAGCTGCTCGTGAGGCTTTGCTTGGCTCCCCTGCTGCAAATCGATGGCATTCAATCGCTCTCGAGCCGGTTGCCGATTCGACAGCATCGCTTACTTGGAGGATCATGGGACTTAGTAAGTAAGGTTATAAGTACCCTATTTGGGGTTAAAAGTATAGTTACCCTAAGTATAACCCTAGTTACTAAGTCCCATGATCCTTTTAAGTACCGCTTCGGAAGGAGAAGCCTCAAGCCTAAACCCTGCAGAGCCCGATGGCGAGGCCAGGACGTGGGCAAAAGTGCCAGGCCAAGCGTAACAGGGCCCAGCGGGAGATGCGGAGGCTCGCAGACTATAACCCCTGAACCGACGCCGGTGGCGCTGACAGTTGTGGCATTTATGGCATTGTATATAGTCATATAGTATTCCTTTGAGGATTCCGTTTCAGAGGGTTCTTATAAGGGTTTCGGTAGGGTTAGTAATACTTTTCCATCGGACTCATTGAGGGCTGCGAGGGTTGGGCTTCAGGTTCAGGAGTTCACGGAGAGGATCATGGGACTTAGTAACTAAGGTTATAAGTAGGGCAAGTATACTTATAACCCCAAGTAAGGTACTTATAACCTTACTTACTAAGTCCCATGATCCTCCAAGTAGACCCTAAACCCTAAACCCCTATAGATCCCTGATCGAAGCCTTTAATAAGAGCCCCTTAAGGAACCCTTAAAGGAACTACTAAGTCCCATGATCCTCCAAGTAGGGTTTAGAGATTTCAGGTTCAGGAGGGGCTTTCGGGCTTGGACTCGAAGGGACCCCTTGGCTGAGTTTGTGTAAGGGTTTCGGGTTTCGGGGTTTAGGGGTTTCGGGGTTGGGGTTTAGGGGTTTAGGGTTTTAGGGTTTAGGGTTTTAGGGTTTTAGGGTTTTAGGGTTTAGGGTTTTAGGGTTTTAGGGTTTTAGGGTTTAGGGTTTAGGGTCTGGTTTCTTGGACCTCACCTGGCTGTTTCTTGCAACCAGGCTCAGTCGAACCGCACGGTGATGGCCACCGAACCTCGGTTGATGCAGCCAAGCCTTACTCCTTGATCTGAAGGGTATATCTTCAAGGTTTCGGTTTGTGAGATCCATGGCTTTGGGGTTGTTTTTGGAAATTTTGGCTCGGTGGGGGGGCGTTTAACAGAGAGCCTTTGGCTTGAAAGGCATCCCCTCCGTGAGGTTCGTAAGGTTTCAGTGAGCTTTAGGGTTTAGGGTTTAGGGTTTAGGGTTTAGGGTTTAAGGGTTTAGGGTTTAGGGTTTAGGGTTTAGGGTTTAAGGGTTTAAGGGTTTAGGGTTTAGGGTTTAGGGTTTAGGGAGCTTGCTGATCGTCCATCATGGACAGGATTCCCCCTAAGCCCTAGAGGTCGACACCCCCCCCGTACCCTAGACTCTAGACCCTGGTTGAAAAAGGTACACTAAACCCTAAACCCTGGGTTTAAAAACGAGACCCTAAACCCTAAATATCCCGAGGTTTTGGCTGATTTGGAGCCCTTGAAGCTGCCCGTTGCTCCAATCCCTAGATCCCAACAGTCACGAAGCACCGTACTATAGGAGCCTAAATAGTTAGATTGGGGTTTGGGGGGTATATTATACTTATACTCTACTTGTTATAAGGAACCCCCCCAACCCTATTTCAAGTAGGCCCCTACATTGCTCTGAGGACATGAACGAGGAGTCCAGTCGTTCCCACAGCATCGTGCAGGTTCTCCGGCCTTGCTGTGGGTGGTTCAAGGTTTAGGGCTTCCTCTTAAAGTCACTGTATACTGTGCCTGCCGCTGTAGTTCTAGTTTTACTCGGGCACACTAAGAATGCAATCGACAAACACCAAACATCACTGATTTGTGCCTATGCTGCACTTCGGAGACTTGAGTGTTTTTGGGTACAAGCGCGGAGCTTCAATAACTAAGAAAGGTGGCTTCGAAAGTTTAACAGCAGCATAACACACCAACCTTTGCCATAGAAATCCTAGGTCCGAGGCCCTAGAGTGTCTCTTCTTTGAGTCAGCGTAGAACCCCCCTTGGTCTTTCAACCCCCCACTTGCCCTTGCAAACCTGTCCAACATTCGGGCCTACCGTAACGTTCAGGACATTGGGTTTGCCAGTTTGCGTTGTGGTGACTCAGTAGTCCCCAGAGACTCCAATATCCCTTAATTAAGGAATATACCTGAAAATTACAGTAGGATGCTGAATATGGATTTAAGGAATACCCCTTATTTAAGGGATATTGGAGTCTCTGGGTCATGCTGCCGGGGCTCTTTCTAGCGGTCAGCAGCATCTCATAAGTTTTCTTTTCGGCAAGCTTTGTATTATGAGCATCATTCTCGCTGCTGTAAATGTGTAGATATTGCCGCCGATGTCTTGTTTTTCATCGCGCTCGACAGTTGCTGTGCTGATATGCTGAAACTCTAACCATAGATCTGGCTCCGAGATCCGTCGCAGGTGAAGACGGTGAATGTCGGGGCCCAAGCTCGGTCGACCGGCATCATAGCAGTATCCACGTAGCTTCACTGCCTTGGTTGAAGTCTCAGATTTTTCCTCGCCTTCATCATCTTAATGTTTGCCATCGTCGTCGTCACAGTCAGCATCATTTCTACAGTCAGTACTCAAGCCCTCAACTCCTAAAGCCCTAAGCCCCTAAACCCTAAACCCTCACGCCCAGGTGAACCGGAAGGACAACTCCCAGTACCTCGGCAAGATCAACCTCATCGATCTGGCCGGCTCCGAGAACGTGAACAAGTCCGGCGTGCAGGGCCTGAGGCCCTGGCGAGCCGAGGGCCTTCTCATTCTTTGTACTAATAGCCCTAGACCCAGGAACTTAGATCCGAAACGTCATAAATGCAAGCATGGTCTCTTTCGCTTGGTATGAACTATATAGTCTTCTTGGGCTTTTTTGATTTCTGTTCATGTAAAACCCAGGAGAATATTAAAAGTAGTATTTCTATTATGGTTCTAAGGGGGGTATAGCCTTCTTCTGTTTGATTCAGGGGTTTAGGGGCTTAGGGGTTTAGGGTTTAGGGGGTTTGGGATTATAAGGTTTAGGGATGAGGGTTTAGGGATTGGGGTTTGGGGTTTAGGGGTTACGGGTTCTAAGGGTTTAGGGGTTGAGGGGCTTTGGGACTTAGGGGTTTGTATTAATTGTACGGTTTTTGGCGTAATAGAGTTAGTACTAAACTTATAAGGAACTGTAAGGGAATACTGAATACTGACACTACACTATACTTCAGCAGGCCGCAGCGAGGATCATTTCGGCCCATGGTTCAATTTGCACATTTTGCTGGCCGACAGCGAGTAGCAAGAATAAGTTTGAGGGTTTGCAAAACATCTAGTAGATCTTCAACAGCCTGCAATCCCAGTTGCACCTCAACATCCTGATCCCTACCGAGAAAGTTTTTAGAGTTTAGTGCAGTAGGTTTAGGGTTTAGGTGTTTCTACAGAAAGGAGCCCCTTGTACAATCCTGAGAACGCAAAGCTTCATGGCGCTCGAGCTCTCAACCCGATAGAACCGCATGGAGCACGTGTGGACCGTCTGCGTAGCATTTAGCCTCTCTGGGTGTATAGAATCCAACCATGGCTAATGAAAACTAACTTTTTTGGGCCAGGGAAACCTTTGCAGAATCTTTGTAGAGGTTGTTTAACCCTAGGCCAAAAATCGCGAGAGTGACTTGAGCAAAAATCTTCACCTGCCGAGGTCAGGGCATGCGCGAGGCAGGGACACTTCTAGTTTCGTGTTTGGGGTCTAGATTTAGGGTTTGGGTTAAGTGGTTAGTGTTTAGGCTTACATTCCTCCCTGGCTGCGTTTCCTCCTGCTTCAGGCGTTGTCTTGTTGCGAATTTACGCAGATGTTCGGTTCCCCCAGTGTTCTGAAAGGCGCAGAACATCAACAAGAGCCTCTTTGCCCTGGGCGATGCGCGAGCCTCATGGTCTGGCGTACTTGGTGGCCTTCCTTTGTCCCGAAGAAGATGAGGACCATGACGTGATTCGTAGTCGCCGGTGATGATGATGGTCTGGATGATGGTGGTGGTTGTAGATTGTAGTGATGGTGAAGGTAACGATGTTGGCGATAAAAGTTCCTTTCTTAAAACCCATATTCTGATCGCCTTGGTACATGCTTATATATGAGGCCATGTCAATTGAGCAATCCAGGCCTTTGTTGACACCGTCACTGCTGAAGTAAGCTTATGATCGGATTGCGGAGTGGCACTATCTTGCCGGTGCTTGATCACTGGTGCGCATGGCCTATTTCCGACAAAGCTCCCATTGTCTTGGCTTATCTCCAAACGAAACTCCCTCCGTAGTCAATAGCTATGGGAATATCATCGGCATTTCGAATCGGGTATGACACAATCATGGCACCGTGTTGTTGCTCAAAGTACGTACCCAGGAGTGTGGCGTGACTCTTTGGGACTTAGAAACCCCACAGCCGCACACCCCGTAGCCTAAATCATAGTCGCTCCACCCTAAACCCTAAACAATGCCGAGGCACAAGATAGCATAGCACACCAAGACCCCCAGAGGGTCCATATATGGTGCCGCGTCGCCGCGTCGCCGGGCCCCCCCCCCCACCCCCCATGGTATGCCCCCCCCCCGAAGCCAGGCGTCTCGTCCAATCAAACAGTCACACGTCATCCGCGTAACTCCCCCCCCGAGCCAGGCCTCGCCTCTCGCCTTGGCAATCGGGGGTGGGTGCGGGAGGGATAACCCACAATAGTGGAACCACAAGACGGCGAACCACAGGGGCGGGGTGGGGAAGGATAATCAACACAGGGAACCACCGGGCCCCTTCCCTTCCCCTCTCTTCGAGCACAAATGCGAATGTTGTGCGCAATGATGTTGATGTGCTAGTCCCAGTGTGGCTATTGGTGGTACCTTTGCTCTTATGTTGCTCTGGGCTTCGGCACCGCATGTTCATGGCTTTATCTAGTTGAAAACCGTGCTTGGCTTGTGATGTTCTTGCGAAAACCATATCGACCGTTGTCATTCCAAGCCAAGTTTCGGTTGGGTTCGCTACAAGTAAGCTTGAGCACGTATTTGAATGGTTTTCATTCGGGACTTTTGAGCAAAGGACCTGATGAGAGTGCGGATGGGGATCATGAGCGCCATCTTCGTCGTTATCATCACCATCATATTCATCACTATCATTGGCTTTGGAGCTCAGGGCAGGTCGGAGTTCAATAGAACTGTATCACATCCTACGGTCCAAACCCTTAGCAACCGGACGCATAGCCATGGACGGGGGCGCAGCCGACCGCAACCACAGGGGGGAGGGGCAGGGGGGAACCCACACCACAGGGAACCACAGGGGGGAAGGGGGGGATACCATGGGGTGGGGGGGGGAGGGGGGGCCTAGCAGCGCTGCACCATATATACTACCATTGGAGTTAGGCCCTAAAGCCATAATCAAGGATAAGTGGAGGGACCCTTAAAAAGGACCCCTAGGTATATATTTGTATAACTTTAATATGCCTCCGCATTATGTAGCCCGTTATTGGGCAGGCATCCCCGACTCCCTGGACCCTAAACCCTAAACCCTAAACCCTAAGTGCAACCACGACTCAAAGAAGCCCGCATTCGACACTCAGGTGATCGCCTCCCTGGTTTCCAAGAGCTCGAAAAGTGCCGGCCACGTTCCCTACAGGACGCAACTACTTTACGTAGCCTGAGGCTTAGGATTTGGGCTTTAGGGTTTAGGGTTGATTATTATGTATTTTGGTTCATATAAACCCCAAGAGTATCGGAAATGCCTTTTGTATTATGGCGCTAAAGGGGTATAGACTAGGTCTGAGATGCCAAATGTAGGGCTTGTATAGGTTTAGGAATGTGGAATCCCGCATGCTGTAGGGGCCTTGATTATTTGACTTGGGTTTCGGGCGCACAGTAGTATCTTCTAATCTGTTCAACCATGGTTGAAACTCTAAAAAGTTCTGGTTGCTTTTTCTTCTGACCCGCACGTTACACCCAAAACCCCAAAACCCTAGATCAACCGGGAAGCATCAAGCATACCTAAAACCGCAAATAACCTACCGTTGTTAAGGACTTTTATGGGGAAATCATAGTAAGGAGCCCTAAAAAGGAAGGTTTTATAGGGTCCAAGCATGAGCCCCGCATTTTTCCCGGGGATCTGACCTGACCGGCCCTGCGCAGGAACTCCAAGCTCACTATGATGCTCAAGGACGGTTGAGGGTTTTCGCTTCAGGGTTTAGGGCTTATAGGGCTTTTGTGGCTTATAGGGCTTATAGGGCTTTTAGGGCTTATAGGGTTTATAGGGTCTAGGGCTTATAGGGTTTATAGGGTTTAGGGTTTAGGGTCTAGGGCCTAGGGCCTCACTTTCAAGGTTTCGGGTCCAATATAGGGGCCTTAATAATTGCCTATACTATTTTGGGGGGCTCCTAATTATAATTATATAGTGAGATATACCCCAAAACCCTACTCCAATTATGAATGAAGGCCCCTTTAGGGCTGCTTGGGTCTGCAGTCAAGGGTGTTGAGTTCAGGTTCTAGGATGTAGCGCTCAAGGTTTCAGATAGAAGTCGACCTTTTGTCCCGAGGTTCTTTGGGACTAGGATTCTTGTTGTATAATTATCTGGAGTCCAGGAGATTTATGAATAATCCTAAAGCCTGTAAACCTTAAGGTGAAGGGCAGCAGAAGATAGATTTTCCTCAGCATTTTTCCTCGTAGCAAAGCGGGGCGTGCTGATTTAGTGTATGCCCTCTTTTGGGGAGGCGCGCTTGGAGAAAGGGGGCATCATTGCACTTTAAAAAAACAACCTAAACCCGGAAGCCCAAACCTTACAACCTGAACCGTCAGCTCTATACCCGAGAATTTCGGAACTGGCTTTCCTCGGTTTAGGTTTCTAGTGTTAATTAACTGTTGAACCTGTCTTTGAGCATTTGCGAGTTTGCGTTATGATTTAGGTTTGGGTTCTGGTGTAGAAGTTAGGAGTTGATGTTCGGGTTTATCGTTTAGGATTTTGGGCCTCAGGTTTCGGGCTTGCGGCCGAATTTGGAAGCCGCTTTGAGTGTTCGTGGATTTTGCGAGAAGCCCGTACACCGCAACTCCAATCCAGAGTCAAGAAATCGCGCATCTAACCCTAAACCCTACCTAAACCCTGCATCTAACCTTCACCGAACCCCTGGTGCTCGAGTTCCCTTCTTGCGGGGGAGTTATGGGCTCCGGGTTGTGTTGTCATGGGTCCTACTTAAAGGATCATGGGACTTTAGTAACTAGGGTTATAACTAGGGTAATTATACTTATAACCCCAGTTGAGCTACTTGTAACCTTACTTACTAAGTCCCATGATCCTCCAAGTAACTAAGTCAACAATGCATGTTTACAAGTCTCACCCCGGAGCAAAAGTGCAGAGGACTCACTTGGAGGTGACTCCAAGACGATGATGATTGTGCAGTGCTCACCAGCTGCCGCCTGAGCAGCTGAGTAGTATCGAAATTGCTCATGTTCCGCTGTTCGGAAGTGCGTTTACCATTGCTTGTAATGGGGCGATCTGCTCTTGACCTGGCACAGTCCTGGTGACCCTGATGTAAACCTCTAACCCCTACAAGACGATCACGAAACTTAGCAAGCAGGGTTATGACTTAGAAGTAATGCAACTATAGTTCTGCATACTGGCAGAACCTAAGCCTTAATCCTTCCAAAAGCCCCCTAAACTTGTGAAGCCGCGTAGCACCGTTGGTGGAGACTTATCATCACTCTGCAGAAAACTGATAGAACCCTCCTAGAAATCGAAAATGACCCGACACATAAACCCTAAATCATTGACCCTAAACCCTAAGCCACTAAACCACTGCATATGATTTTGCAAAAGACCCTGAACCTAGCCTGAAAGCCCCCCAACAAGCTTAAACCCTAAACCCTTGGACCCCATGTTTCCCATTCTGCTAGCCTTCAGGCTTTTCGGCGAAGACCCAGCGGATTTGCTGGAAAAAGTAGCCCCCCCCCCCCCTCAAAAAAAAAGAAATTATAACCCTATATAACCCCAAACCCTAACCCCAAACCCTAAACCTTAAACCCTAAACCCCAAAACCTACACACTAAACACCAACCCCAAACCCCAAACCCCAAACCCCAAACCCAGGCCCAGAGCAACGTCACCGAGACCCTCAGCTCGCTGAACTTCGCATCCCGTGCCCGGAATGTCGAGCGGGGGGGCCTACTTAGAGGATCATGGGACTCAGTAATTATGAGGGTTCCTTAAAGGGCTCCTTTAAAGGGATCTATAGGGGCCTAGGGTCCCAGAGCATAATCTAACCATTGATGTTGGAGGAGCTAAGGAGCCAGGGATGATGATAGTCCCTCCTAAATAAGGAGCCAAAGAGCCAAGGGAACCCCAAAACCACTGGTTAGTAATATGCTACAGCATATGGGTGATTGTCAAAATTAAGGTCCCATTGTGGGTACCCTAAATATTAGGTGTTGTAGGGATCCCCAAAAGGGACCCTAATTTTGACAACTACCCATATAGGGTTTAAGGTTTGGGGTTTAGGGCATAATATGCCTTAATATACCGAGATCGGCAAGAAATATACCGTGATATAGTCCACTGCAGTAGTACTATAGTATAGTATAATTGGCCATAATCTGCTATAATACCGATGTTATGTGCGATAATCTGCTGTAGTATACCGCAATACACAATAATATGCTGCAATATTGTTTCTATTGTTTAGGAGGGGATTGCTGTACTTTTGTATACTATGATATACTGTAACCTACTTTAACCTACTATAATAGAATATACGATTAGTGTTAGCATACTGGGCTATGGTATAATTGATAAAGGGTGTTAGGGCTTGGGGTTTTGGGGTTTATACGGGCTTTCTGGTGCTGTTTTTTGAGGGCGTTGGGGGCTTAGGGTTTGGGGTTTATGTGACGGGGTTTAGGGTTTAGAGACCTAGAGGAGCTTCGAGTCAAGCATTTGTGGCTCCAGATGTCGAGGGTTCACAGTTTGCTGGGGTTGAGGGTTTTACAGAGTTGTGTAAGGGGGTTGGTAAGCTTTGGTTCAGGTCTTGCAGAGGTGTTTGTCCGAGGGTGTTTGGGCGCTGAGAGGAAGAAGGAGGTGATTGAATCAGGGGCCGTCAAGGCTGAAAAGCATCATCCGATGCTGAAGGCGCATATGAGCTAGAGTCTTGTATAGACGGTCTGGATAGTTCGAAGTCTTCCCTCATGGCGCATCTCTCCCTCTCTCTCTCTCTCTCTCGTGCACGCTCTCTCGCGTACTCTCTCTCTCTCTCTCTCTCTCTCTCTCTCTCTCTTTTCTCTTCGACCTGTTGCATGTCTTGAAGTGTTTGTCATAGCAAATCTTGTTACCATTGTTGTGAGTGTTTGTACTGCTGTCACGGTGCGAGAGTATTCGCGCTGCTGTCGCTGTTCTTACCATCGTTTTGTCACTGTAGATCATGATGTTTGTAATTTGATCTTTATGGTAAGGACATCTTAGTAGCTGAGTGGATACACACTTTACACGTTTTGGGATAACATTACCCACTTTAGAACTGAAAGTGTACATTTTTTGGGGCTTATGAACTCAGCAACTAAGATACTGGCTGCAGGACCCACAACCAAAACGCTTAAGATAAAGCTCGATTTTCCCCGACCAACTCCAAACCTCCAAGCCGAAAGCCAAAGCTTCCTAGATCCAAATACCCTAAACCTTAGGGGTACTTAGAAATAATTTTTAGTTTTTGGTTATTATAATCCCTAAGAAACAACTAAAATTATAATTTTTGCTAGGGTTCTAAGTTCAGTATAGAAATCCTAAACCCCAAACCCCTAAACCCCTAAACCCCCAAGCCCTAAATCGTCTAAGCCGTTCGTGTTTCTGTTGAGTGCCGAGGCTGGGCAAGGCAAAGCAGCACAAGTCCTGAAGCTGAGGTCCGGGAGAGGTTCCAGTTTAGGGTTTAGGGTGCTTTGGGTGACATAAGATTGAGGGTTTCGGGTTGTTATCGGGGGTTAGGCTGCGAACATAGCATGCAGCTGTTTGCTGCGAGATAATGAAACCTGCAAGCAGGCGAGCGACCGGAATGGCAGACCTCGCGCCTTTTGTTTTTTGTCAGCTGGGACACCCCACAAAGAACCTCGACATACTATACCCAAGCCTATTGAATCCCCTCTGGAGTCTGCCCTGCCATCAACCCCTGGATCAAGATGAATCCTTCACCCTAAAGCAACCTAAGGCGAGAAATATTCGACTCCCAGCTCGACCCAACTAATTCGACCCGGCAATTATGCCCTGCACTCGGAGGATCACGAGCTAGCTTAGATAGTGAACGCAGGAACTATAAACTTTTTGGCCTTATATATTAGCTCTATCTTAGAAAGTTTGAACTTTTTGGGGCCTGGTCGTTGAAGAAGAGAGCTAGGAGTTTCACAAAAATGGGGACACTAGTACAACAGACCCCCTAAGGATCCCTGAGCAAAGTATTCTTCTTCTTTTGCCTAAAACCCCTATATACACCCTGAACCCTAAGCCCTAAACCCTAAACCCCTACGCCCTAAACCGTTGAAGCTTCAGTGTCCTGAAAGAGGGTCTTGGATCTGCTGCATGGCATGTTTCTGCTTGCAGCATCCGGGGGACGCTAATGTAGGGGTTTAATAATTAGAGTAGGGTTTTGGGGGCTCCTGATTAAAGTATAGTATTATATACCCCCAAGCCCTATTATTCTAATTATTAAGGCCCCTATACGAATCCCTTATAGTAGCCCTTCTAGAAGCCCTTATAGACCGTTTATAACAATTCTTTAAGGGAGCCTTATTCTAATTTTTAAGGCCCCTACATTGAACCTTCCAAAACTACCCCCCTGGCAGCTCTAATGATCACGGGACTTGGTAAGTTTAGGAGAATATGCAGGGTCTCTAAAGTTACAGCCACGTAGGGCGTTGTAGCCCTAGGATGGGGGCGTGGCAATAGAATTCCTCACAGGTTCCTCGTGTATTTGTGGTATAGAACGTCGAGAACTCTAGTCTAAAACTACCCGTGATCCTCCGAGCAGGGCTTTGCAAGCTATCTTCACGACCAGTACGTACACTGAAAACAGATGGGAAGAACCCTAAACCCTAAACCCTAAACCCTAAACCCTAAACCCTAAACCCTTGAACCCTTTCGCTTAAGCATTGGCATTCCAAGCCCTTGAAGCCCCCGGAGACTTCATGACACTGAACCCTGGGCCCTAGACTTACTGTAGGAGCCTGAATAATTACCAAGACTGTTTTGGGGGTTCCTTAATATATTTTATTATATAATGGGCCCCAAAACCCTGTTCCAATCATGAAGGCCGCTATACTCATCCCTTATAGTAGCCCTCATAGTAACCCTTATAGACCCTTGAGAAGAACCCTTGGAGGGAACCTGATTCTAATTATCAAGGCCCCTATATTACTTCCCAGTCCAGGGCTCTAAGTATGGGCCGCAAGGGCATGACAGACGTGAATGACACAGCTGCCACCCCAGACCCAAAGAAGGACTGAGTCGCCCCGCAAGGATTGGAAAGTTCACCAGGCCCCACACTTCATATTATACCACTTATCTTCTCAGCTTGCAAGAAACTCTGCAACCTGAACATAACCCTTCACCCGGAACTTGGAGGGATCCTACTTGGAGGTTCATTGGGTAGTTATGGGGGTTCCTTTAAGGGCCCCCATAAAGGGATCTATAGGGGTTCTATAGAGGTACGGAGTTTAGGGCCTACTTGGAGGTTCAAGGGAAGTTATAAGTAGGGTAACCATAATAAAACCCATCTAAGGGGACTCAGAACCCCACGTATAACTAGCCCAAAGCCCTAACCCACTTATAACTACCCATGAACCTTCAAGGAGCATAAACCAGCCTCGTGCCATGCTTTGATCCATTCATTGATGCCGTTTGCCGCCAAGCTTTCGGCCAGGATGCAGTGTCGGCCCTATCGGCTCTCCGAACCCTAAACCCTAAACCCTAAACCCTAAACCGTTATCTCGTTTACCACGGGGCCTGCTCCTAAGCCCCAAGCGGAGCCACACATGGGTAGCTGTCAAGATCATGCTCACCTTTTGGGGTGCCCTCAATATTAGGTGCCGTATTACATTCAGGAAAAGGGACCATAATTCTGTCAACCACCCACACGTCTGCAGCCTCAGTCCAGCGCAAGAGCACTTGAGCCACCCGACGGGTTGAGAAAATCTCTCGAAAACTGCAGCTTAGCTAAGCCCGGATCCCTAAGCTCACCCAAAGACCCTGCGCCCAAGACCTAAACTAAAAGACAAGGCGGCTTAACCAGAAAACTGGCAACAAAGAGGCCCAGTAGATCGCTGCAGAAACATACCTCACAACAACCTACCTCGCAACACCCTGCTCTAACTCTTACGACTCCTGCAATAAAGCGCTCTGATTCGATTGCCATGGGGTGTGGCGGCAGTGTCGGAGCCTGAGCTGGGGTCGTGCTGTTGAGCCTGTCGGGGATCGGGCCAGTCAGGATAGCGACTCGTAATAAAACCCTAAACCTCTATGTACTATAATACTAGTACGGTTGATGATATACTGTAAACCCTGCATTACCCATAATAGGGAATATACCATAATTCCCATAGTCTAGGGTCCTTAAGGTAATGCAGGGGTTATATCATCAACAGTAGGTCTGAGCCCGAAGCCTCTCTTCAACCCTCAAACCCGAAAAAGCCTGAACCCCAAATCTTTCATAGAATCCTTCCAGAAGATCCAAAATCCATCGAGGGATTGCCTCCAAATCCCTCACTTCGAAGATATTTTGAAAACCCTAAACCAAAATCCAAAAACCTGTTAACCACCCTAAACCTTAATCCCCAAAGCCTAGCAAAGGAACATATACTGTTTCCGAGGCTTCGCACAGCGTCGCGGAGGCGAAGGAGCTGGAGGCTTTCTTTCGGGAGACGGTTTGGGGAGGCGTTTAGGGCTTCGGGTTTAAGGGCTGGGGTCGAGACTTGAAGTGTTTAGGGTTCAGGGTTCAAGCTTTAGGGTTTGGGGGGGTTTAGGCTTGGGGTTCAGGTGTGGGAATTTCGTGTTGTGTGTAGGGTTTAGCAGGGTTTTGTAGTGGTTGACAGGTGTCTGAATGGGGTTTGCAGTACTTTTGCGGTTACGGCTCAGGGGTTTGAGGGTTATTTGTGTTGCTTCACTAGGACGGCAGGAGGAAACGTTATCGTTGCTTACAAACAATGGTAATCATGCTGAATGTAGTAGGACTAGCAGTAATGATCAATAAAGTAGAGCTGCGCCGGCCATGCAAGCGTACGGCTGGAGCCCTCCTGCGATTCCTGAGCCGATTTGGCCAAGCATTTAGGCCGGCACTGATGCAATGCCAGGACTTTAGGGTTTAGGGTTTAGTGTGTAGGGTGTTGGCGCATCAAGGCTTGCAGGATCCCGCGAACTTGCTCCCAGTGGCCTGGTTGGCACCTGGCTCACAATGGGTCAAGGCTAGGCCCAAAACGCCCCCGAAGAGGGGAGCTTGGCGGACCCGAGCTTCGAGGGGGCTACTAGTAAGTCGGGGAAGCAGGCAAGCAGGCCAAGGGAACGAAGATCCCAGAATCCGAGGGTCCCCCGCCTCTGCCTTGCTCAGTGGCAAGCACACCACGTGCTCTTGCAGCTTGGAAGAACTGGTGGGATCGCTGAAGCAGCGGCGACTAGGGTAGTCGTGGATTTCCACGGGGTGTTGGATTTGGACGAGTCTAGCACTAACAGGCAAGGAAGGAGCTGCCAGAGAAACTCCAGGCAGCTGATTGCTGCTGAAAGTATCGAGGCGGGTTCTATGACGAAGGCGAAGGGCAGGACAGTGGGCTCTGTTCTGCTGGTAGTGGGGTTGAGCGCCAAGGTAGGGAACAATGAAGTTGCTTCGACGCTTGGATCAGCAGCATGTCTGTATCTAGTGAAAGCTGTACTTACAAGCCCAATCAAGATGCGAATGTCTCTAAACTACTCTAAACTCTAATTACCTTGATCCTTTGTTTTAAGTAGGACTAAACCCTTAACCCTAATTCCCTCGATCAGTTCTTTTGAGGTAAACCCTCAACTTTCTGCCCAGTAGAACTAATAATCCTTCCAGTCGAACTGATCCTTTCCTTGAAGTAGAACTGATCCGTTTTTTCAGACAGCCCTAAACCCTAAACCCTAAACTTAGAAAGTGAACGGGGTCACTTTAAACTTCTTGGCCTTACATATTATATAGCTCTATGTTAGAAAGTTTGAACTTTTTGGGGCCCAGCCGTTGAAGAAGAGAGTAAACCAGGAAGAAGTTGACGCAGCCGGTGAAGTCGGTAAGGGTCACCGGTCCGAGTGCACGACCCCGACCAGCGACCACAGGGTTGTAGAGCTCAGGGATTAAGGTTTTAAAGCTCAGGGTTTAGGGGCTTGAGGGTTTAGGGCTTCTCGGGGGCTTGAGGGTTTAGGGTTGCTAGGGGGTTGAGGGTTTAGGGGTTCAGGGTTCTGGGTTCAGGGTTTGGTTTAGGGTGTGGTGTAGAGGTGCAGGGTGTAGGGTGTTAGGGCGTGCGTCTGCAGACTTTGTTTTAGCTGGTGGGCGCAACTTGTTTTCTAGTTGTTGCAGCCTCATTGACGCTCTGATTCCAACATCCCAAATGAACGAATTGATTTCTTTATCAATTCTGCCCCCTCCCACCAACCCGCCCCCACCCAACAAGCCCGACAGTCGACCCAACTGCTGCTAGTCTGCACCAGGTTCCCGGGGTTAAAGCCGATGCGCGCGCTGCCGAGCTTGCGCCTGCGGACAGGTGTCCGAACTAGGGGGTGGTTTCCACGTTTCCAGGAGGTTTTGGCGTGTTCTCGGAGGGTACCATATAAGTGTGAGTTGTCTATGGGTCTTGTCAGATTTATGTAGAGGTTTTGCACCAAGGTCGTGAACGCCTACAC